ATGCTGGTTAGTTCCATCAAAAAGTTCTTCACGAATACAAATTTCTCTTAATATTTGATCCAGGAGTTCCCTTGTCTTCTGGATTGGGTTCAAAATTACAAGTCTAGGGAGATGAACATTAGTAGTCGTAAACCCAAAATTGGGTCGGCTGTACAATGTTATAGAATAAAATAATTCCATGAGGAGTCGTGATTGCTCAGGGAACCAAGTTCAAATCCCAGCGATGCTTGGTGGATATGAATTCCGCAACCGGCTTGCACCAACCACAGTGCTAACGTGAAATATCATCAGTTGTCATGGGTTAGAGTCCCTTGCCGTCAAGCTAACCGTGGGAGGTTTTAGTGGTCTTCCACTCCATGCAACGCAAATGCTGGTTAGTTCCATCAAAAAGTTCTTCACGAAGACAAATTTCTCTTAATATTTGATCCAGGAGTTCCTTTGTCTTCTATATTGGGTTCAAAATTACAAGTCTAGGGAGATGAACATTAGTAGTCGTTAACCCAAAAATTGGCTCGGCTGTTCAACGACGGTTTCAAAATAACGCCATGAGAGCCGTGATGGCTCAGGGGATAGAGCGTTCACCTTTTAATGTGGTGAACCGTGTTCGAATCCCATCGATGGCTGATCGATACGAATTCCGCATCTGGCTTGCACCGACCACAGTGCTGACGCAAAATATCCTCAGTAGTAGATGGATCATGGATTAGAGTCCCCTTGCAGTCAGGCTAACCATAGGAGGTGTTCCTCTCCATGCGGAAACGCAAATACCGCAAATGCGGGCTAGTTTCATCAAAAAGTCCCCCACGAAGGTGAATTTCACCCAACAATTGATCTAGGAGTTCCCTGGTCCTCTGGATTGAGTTTAAAATTACAAAGCTTTGGATTATAGAAAAAATAATAACACCACGAATCTGTCATACAAACAAAGCGCTAATCTACACCAGAGTCGCGAATTATCAAGGTATATATATATATATATATATAATGTCTGCCTGAGTGTCCATTAAAGACTCTTAAACCAACCAACCAACCAACCTAAAGATATAAAATTTGGCATATACATAGTTCGAAGCAAGAGGAAGTTCACAGTTGATATTAGAACATTCTACGACGAACTTCGAGCGGGAAGGGCGGAAAACAAAAAGAAATTTTCTGACTGGTTAAGCGTTAGCCATTGTTTTAAACTAAACTGAAAACAGTTTAAAATCTAGGGTAATTAAAATGAAAGAAAATAGTTATTACTCTGTTTAATAATAATTAATGAAAAGTAATTACTATTAATAATAAAAAATAATTAACATTAATAATTAAAAATATTACGAATTATTTTACGAATAATATTATTATTACGAATAAAAATATTTATTCAAAGGAAAAATTAATTTAAAAGTGGCACTAATTTGCTTTGGAGAAACGTGAAAGATCGATATACTATTATTGAGGCCAATGATTTTTAACTTAGGTAATATATGCATATTGAAATAAACGTTTAACGCAACCTTGTTGGAAGTCGCATAAGAAGTATCACTTCAAAAGTAGCCAGGTTACTAAAAAGCAAAGTTAATGAAGAAAAGATATACTTATTTGTTTTAGGAATATTATTATTCACCATATTATTTTTGACACCAAAGCTTAATTAATATTATTAATATGTATTAATTGAAATAAAATAAAAAGAAGCTGAAGAAAGTTAATGGAGAAAAAGTTCAAGGGAAATTCGTTCAGGATAACGGTAGAAAATCACCAAACACAGATGACTATTAATTAATTTAATAGCATCTAGAGAGCTTCGTCTCATATGCTATCATCTAATTCAGGGGCTCTAGTCTCATACCAATACTCAATGACGTCATAATATGACGTTGATGTGCTTATTAAATTTTTACCAGATCTGTGGTAAATGTTTATTTTTAAAGTATCCCTAAGCATAAAATGTTGAATTTAATTTCACTAGTAATTGATGATATAATTATTATGACTTCTCAAAATATCAAAGTACTTTTTAAATAAAATTTATGTATTTCAATAAATATATGATATTTTAATTATTAAGTAATATATAAATTAAAGGTCAGATAGAGAAATGCCATGCTCCAAAGTCCTCACCAATGTCTAATAAGAAAATTCTATTTATTATTGCCACTGATAAATGCATTTTGGACAAAACTCTAATGTTGAACAGTTATACAATAAGGACTTAATATACTTAGGTATAATATTGATATCCTAGAATAGCCCACTGCGAGGCGACTTTTTGAAATCTAGCCAAGTGAATTTTTTGAAATCTCGCTAAACTAGATTTCTGGAAGATATTTCGGGAGATATGTTACAACCTTATTGCAAGTTATTTCTTATTTTATTTTATTAATAATATTTTAATAAATTTGTAATAATTCAAATTGTATTTTTAATAATACAAAAAAAACAATGATCCAAGTAATAATCGCCAACTTGGCGATATTTCAAAAAGTCGCCACGGGGTGGGCTATTCCTGGAATTTACCATTTGGTGATGACTGAAACTGCACCAATACTAAGCAGTTTTAATATCGGAACTGTGGAAATAAGTGTTTTACGGCCCCTTAAAAGAGATATGTACCGAAGAAAATTACTTGTTAGTGGTAAATCTTGACTATCACGAGTAGACCGCGAGCAATATCATCAAGCCGAGTAGACCGCGAGCAATATCATCAAGCCAAGTGATGCTAAGTAGAGTTTACCTCTATTCTGATTGGATGAACTACAAAAAAAAAAACGCGTTTTGCTTAATATAATAAAGTAGGGCCAGGATAGCCTAGTTGGTAGAGCACTGGGCCCATGTCTAAGAGGTCGTGGGTTCGATCCCCGCCAGTGTAGTAAATGGTGACTGGAGCACGTTAAATCTGTCGAGTCACAAAGTCCTTCACGTTCCCACAACAAACCATACCTATGGGGGTACTGACTCAGGAGTTACCTTGTCTTCTGGATTAGTTCAAAATTACAAAGCTACGGACGAGAACATTAGTAGTCGCAAACCCAAAATTGGGTCGGCTGCTCAAATATAAAATATAATAATGTGAAGCTTTGTGAAAAAACTAAGTGACATTTTCAGAAAAGCTATAATGAAAGTAGGACAAAAAAGATGATCCCCGAACAGATTAATAAGGAGACGGGACAAATAATTCTTTGTTTTATTTTATTTACCACTGCCTAATTTGAAAATAAAAATCATATTGATGCAGCCACTTCACGCTATTTTCACTGATTCATAAATACAGTCGGGAACCGATTATCCGGAATGATCGGGACCATCGCTATTCCGGATAACTGATTTTTCCGGTTTTCTGAATCGCTACGAAAAGCCGTTTTTTTATTGTTAAACCCAACTAAAAAAAAATAAAATATTTGGAAATAATCTTAAAAAGAGGAAAAAACGATGAAGTAATATACTAATGATTATTTCCAAAATGATAAGGTAAACATCTTTTAAAAAAGAAAGAAAAATCCTAAAATCTTATGAGGAAAAAAAGATTTTTTGAAGAAAATGGCTGGAAAATTTATCGAATTTCGTTCCGGTTTTTTGGTTTTCCGGTTTACTGATTTCCGGATAATGGGTTTTGCACTGTTCCTCTAAAAATGTCATTTAACTGGTTCTTTTACAAAACTCTTCAAATTTGTCGGTATATGCCTTTCCCTATTGTGCATGATTTCATAGTGCTGTTCAGTATACAGCCAAATCTTTCAACAAAAATAAGCACCCTTTAAGTACTTTTTAAGTACTCAAAAAATGTTTTTAAGCACTATATACATTAATAAAATGCAAAATAACTTTCAAAGACTTTACATGATCATGAAAAAATAACCAGTTTCTGGCAAAGAACTCTTTTTCTTGATCATATTAGCCATTATAAAATGATCAAGAGATTTTCTGGTTCGATTTCAGAGGGTGGAAAATGAAGCCTGAAATTCAGAATATCTTGCAAAATGCAGCAGAGTTGCAAATGAGAAGGCAATTATCTCATCGAACCCAGCTCAGTAGACGCACAAGTGGACTCGTAAGTATTTATTCAAACATGCAAAATGATTATCGCTTTCATACGCTATGGATCGATGGTAAGCCAAAATAGATTGTGGTTGAATAAATTGTGAAAAGTTGAATAGAACAATGTAAAAAGCACGCTTTTGCATAATTCGTGGCGCAAATAGACATGGTAAAGAAGAAAAATCTCATTCAACAGAAAATTAAGTACTTTTTAAAAACATTCAATAAAAAAAGCCCCTTTAAGAGCTTTTAAAAAACGAAAATAGAAAATAAGCACCTTTAAGTACTTTTTAAAAACGCTATGCACCATGGTACAAATTGATTTTCTTATTTATTCATCCTGTAAGAAGAACAGGTATTCAGCTAGATATGTATAAAAACTGAGTGATAGTATCGCAGGATTAAAATGAAATTGTTGACGATATGAAAGTCTTATACACTTCAAATGCATCAACAAGTCAATCAGAAATGATTAGGTCGTTAAATCAGAAATTATTGTTACTTAATAAACCTTTTCAAATACGAGCTATAAATTCTTATATAACATAAAAACAAAATGGTCGAACTTAAGTTTTTTATTGTTGTCGCCGCATTTTTATTAGCTTGAAAATCACACGGCAGGATTCAGTTTTCCTACATTAATTTCAACATATCAGGCTGCCACAATGGTAAAATAAATCAAAGTCATAAAAGTATCGTCTTCCTATAAAATATATTGTAGATAGGTATTTTACTTACGTCGCACAATGGGCTGGCGGCAACGGTCTGGGAAACATCCCCAAGGAGGATCCGATGACATGCCATTGCAATTTTGATCCTCTGCAGAGGGTGATAATTAAAATCGAAACAATAAGATCAAATATTTTACATTATGCTAAAAACATTTATGATTTACTTTTCAAAAAATGACTTAAGTCAGAAAATATGAGTATTTGTACATAATATGGTTTGCATTATCAGAAATAAAATTAAAAACACAGTAAAAATAAAAAACTTTTTATTGTGAAGCATATATATTTATTAACTCAAGCTAAAATTGAAGGTTACATAATTACTTAAAATCAATTTTTGTATTTATTGTATAGCAGCATAAAAATGCAAGAAAAAAAAAGGAACATTTTAAAAAAATGATACATATGTTATATTAATAAATACATATAATTTATTGTAGTTCTAAAACGAAATCAAATAAATGAATTTTTAAAGAAATTCATTATGTTAAAAAAAATGCAAATTAAAAACTTTTTGTTAAAAACAAAAGAAGATTTTGAAGAAGAGTTTTCTTAGAAAATACTAATGAGAGCAACTGAAGAAACTACCATGCAAAATTGTTTGAAATACTGATTAAAATTATTTAAGACATTTTAAATGTCGTCAGTTATGGATTTTGCACTATCATGTTCGATAAGAGAATACAAACTATTCTCCTACACTTTAAATATAACTGAGAGTAGTGATGATTGCTTATAAAATATGATGATTAAATAATACATACAATATAATACAAAACCTTAAAATATTTATAAATAATGGTCTTAAAGTCCATCTTGTTAGTTCTCTTTTCCCAATATCTCATCATGATACATAAAAATATAATCACATATTTTTTCCAACCAAAGCAGTATTTACATCATCAGGGCTTGCATTGAGTCTGATTTTCATGTACAGTCCATTTCGGAAATTGTCCACCAGAATGAGATTTGAGTGGACGAGACGTGCACAGACATGCGTGACTTCAGAAGTTGAGGGAGGCAAAATTCCTGAAAAATGAATAAACATCAGCGTGCACAGCCAGATTTTGCAACAAAAAATAAGCACCTTTTAAGTATTTTTAAGCACTCGAAAAATATTTTTAATCAATAATATTTTTAATTTCCAAAAAAATTATAATTAGGATCTGGGCAGTAATAAAAATTTCTTTTCGATCATTTAAATTTTCGTTAAACTTATAAACAAAATCAACAAAATTCAAAAACATTTTCAAAGACTTTACATAATCATGATAAAATAACTAGTTTCGGACAAAGAATTATTTTCTTGATTACATTAGCCACAATAGAAAGAGCGAGATTTTTCGCTTCGATTTCAGAGGGTGGAAAATGAAGTCTGAAATTGAGAATATCTTTCAAAATACAGCAGAGTTGCACATGGGAGTGCAAGAATCTCACCGAACACAGCCAGACTCCCAAGTATTTCATCAAGCATGTAACATGATTGGGGTGCTATCATACGTTGCGGTAAAACGGTATGCCAAAATGGAATGTGGTTTAATGATTTGTGAAAACGTTGAATAGAACAAAGTGAAAACCACTCTTTTGCATAATACGCAGTGAAAATCCACATGGTAAAGGAAAAATTTCATTTTCGAAAAGGAAAAATTAAGCACTTTTCAAAAACACCTTAAAAGGTTTTTAAAAAAACGAAAATCAAAAATAAAGACTTTTAAGCACTTTTTTAAAAATTCCATGAACATTAAGATATTCAAATTAAAAAAATTAAAATATTCCAAATTTATTTATTTACTTTTTAGAAAAAATGCTATGGAAATTATTCATTAAACAGAAACAAACTAATGTTATTACAAAATAGAAAAATGCAAAAAAAAAAAAAACAATACCTTCAAATCTGCAGCTGGAATCCAGAAGATCTAGTACTTTCAGGAGTGTTGTCTCTTCAGATCCTGTTCTACTAAAATCTGCAAGTATGCATTGGAAGAACAGTTTTTCCAACTTAGATGCACACCTGATAAATAAATTTTAAAAAAATGAAATGGAAAATTTGAGTGCCATATATAAAAGCTTCAGAACTGAAAAACAATTAATAAAAATACAGCCAGACCTCTATTTAAGTCGCTAAATCCCAATAATAAGTTCGTTATATGGAAAATTCGTTTGTGGGAAGAGTTGTTATTGACCATGTCAATCTATGAAAAGGTACTCCAACATAGAATCAAGTTTTACATGTCTTATATACTAGTAAATTGGAATTGTATTTTTGCAGTGGTAGGTACACTACAGTACTCCCCCACCAGAATTATCTCTGCGATAGAATTCAATGAACCGATACCACTAGTTGACTCATTGCTGTTTTGTAAGAAGCCGGAAGGTATTAAGATCACCGTGCTTTTTGAGTGCTAATCGTGAGAGCTGTACTAAGTTCACAGTCATGGTCGCTTCTGTGTTGCATTTAACAGTAAAGTGTATACATTGTACATGATCGAGACTAAGAAGCAAGGGCGAGGAGGTGGATAATGTTGCAGTCACAAGCAGCAAGTTAACTAATCAATGTGGACCACCTAGGTAGGCATGCTCAAATCGAAATGGGAGTTTCTGTCAAAGTAGGCATGTTCAGATCACGTTAGAAGGTCACGAATGTGGGAAAAGTTGTTATAGACAATGGCAATCTTTATCTATGAAAAGGTACCCCTCCATAGAATCGAGTGAATTGGAATTATATTTTTGTAGTAGTAGACACACTACAATAAGTATTTTGAATTTATTATGTTTATCTTAGTTGAATTGTAAACTAAACCTTGTTAATATACAATATTCGGGGATCGTTTAAGTTGGTAACAATCAATTTATGACTGCAACTATAAAATTATATATCATATTATCACTTTGTATTACATGTTAAATTTTCTTCATTGTGAGTTTTGTTTTAAATACATATAAAGAAATTGACATTTAATTCAAGTTAGAAAAGTTTGAACTTAATTATTCCAACAAAAGGCAAAGCATGAGAATCTTGTATTTTACTAAGCATTGTATACAATGCCAAGATGTTGTATGCAAATGCTCTGTAAGCAGTGTATGATAGTGCAGTTTGGCAAAAGTAAATCATAAAAAAAGAAAAAATATCATTTTTTCTTAGATTTCTTTTTTAAAAAGAAAATTTTACTGAATTGGCATGTCTTATATACTAGTGAATTGGCATTTTATTTTTGTAGTGACAGATACACTGCATCGTTAAATAGGAAATCACCTTTTGAAATACTTAAACACAAAATGGGTTTTAAATTCAGAAACACTAGACATAATTAAAATAGCAATTGATACACCTTTAGCTCGTAAACTAGTATCTACTATTTATTTTATAAATCTTAACCATAAAAAAAATCTTCCTGGGAAGCAAGATACTTTTAATTAGTACTGTTTTATTACTAAAAAATAAAAAGTTTAATTACTACTGTTAAAATCCGTTAATTTTGTCTGAGTTTTTTGTTTGAAATGCAAACAAAGAGGGAAAGGGATTTTACTGCTTTCTTTTAAAGTGGCAACGAAAAACAATTTAAGGTCATTTTCCCCAATGCGTAAACAAGTTTAAAATGTTTTGATTCATATTGGGAAATAGGGAAAGTGGATCTCAAAGAAAAGTTCGTTAAATAGAAAATACACTTAGCAATTTGGAAGTTATTTTACGAAGAAATTTTAAAAAAGTTCTTGGTTCCTCAAAATAATTTTGCAAAATAGAGAAATTCCCAAAATGGAAGTTCGTTAAATAGTAGTTCGACTGTATTACATAAACATTATTTCTAAAACATTCTAGAATTCAGAGCAACATATTCAATAATTCAAAAATATAGCAGCAAAAAGCAGTTTCCAGATGCATGAGGAATGAAATTAATAACAATGGATGCCTAAACTTTAAAAATAATTGATTCTAAAAATCTATTTAACGAGATGACATATAAATATAACAATGTTTAAAATTCTTTCTCTGTTATTAGAATGGCTTTTTTTAAAAGCATTTTTAGAACAATAGAGTTTCTAAAAGATATTTAGTAAGCACATAGGGATCTATACATATTAAGGTAATAAAAGTTTTTTTTTCCCCAAGACATTTTTTCTTCAATACTTGTTAAATTGTAAAAGTAAATTAGTCATTAATATTTGAACTTACAAAACAATATCAATTCCTTAGTTAAAACAAGAAAAATAATGTTTATACCAATGCATAAATGCAATTTTTTAGGTTTTGCACTTGAGTTTTAAAACTATGAACAACTTGTAAAATCTTGAGATTTTAAGTCAGCAGCAGAGTAAGTTTTTTTAAGTACATATATAGAAATAAGTAATTAGTTAAAAACCTGCAAGAAAGTGTCTACTAGATTTTCTTAAATTTTTTTTCAAAAGTGAATTTAAATAAAAAATTGCAACATAAAGAATGCAAAATGTTCACAATTATGATGAAATCTGTTATTTTAGGACAAAAGCACCAGACTAAAATGTGATAATTAAAAAAAAAAAAAAAAACTTGCCATCCGTGTATCAAACGCTGGTCCAGGAGACCACTGATAATCATTTGATTGAAGTTCAAGTCAAATTTTAGTGTTTCTGAACATGCTGCTAATTTTGAACCCTGGTGTAGATATATTTATAAACTTATAGTTCGTTCACCAGGAGTTGGCACCTGGCTCTGCCTTCATCACATGGTATCCAACCATACTATTTTGCAATTTTTGGGAGAAGGATGTGAACCACCTGAATAAGGTCATTTGGCGATTGTATGACATATTTATTTCGCAATCTTGTGCATTTTTTTAACATTAAATATTTCATAAATTTGATAATATTTCTCTCTTTTGAGTAAATAGTTTGTCCTTTTTGTGACATTTTGCTGGGAAGATAGTAGTTTTTAAAATATATTTATTTAGCTAGAGTAGCGAATGGTATAATAGTAGATGATAAAGCGAAGTAAGGGGCTGTAAAAGAATAGAATGTTTGCGTTTGGTGCGTATCAAGGGTTGTCTCATTTCTAGAGCAGAGATGTTTCTCTTCTTACTCCCGCGCTTAAATGAACTCTGCATCTGAGGAGGTGGAGCCAAGTGCCAACTCCTGGTGAACGAACTATATAACAGTTAGATAGGGAATAAGTTAGATATATTAGAATTTATTTGACTTTAATGGTGTTTAATTCATTAAAGCACCAAAGCATTTCAGAAAAAGAATGACTTATGATTTTTCTACGCTCACAGCGTTTTAAATTCACTTTTTTTTCCCCGTTGTGTTTGAATTCATATTTAGATAATTGCTATCAAAGTAAACCAAGTGTTGAAAAAAAAATGCAAGCAAATTTATAAGTTTAAAAAACATAGGCAAAAAGTATCTAAATCTTCATTTGTACGACGAACTTAAAAAATACCTGATGGCAGAGATGACAGGAGAAGAAAACATCTGTTGAATGGCAATATCCACATGATCCATACCAACCAGAATTTTAGACTTCTTTTTTGGTGAGGACTTGCTTCGCTCAGCAACTTCTGTAGCATGACGACATATGTCAAGAGCCCTCCTTGCATCACCGGACACAGCTGCCACCTTTTGGGTTGGAATAATATCAAAATTCATCGTAGTAGTCAATCAAATAAAATAAACCTTACGAATATACAAGCTTTCTGAAATGTTTGACAATGGTCAAACATATCAAGAAATACAAATATTAAAAATCTAAAAAAACTTGTCTAAATATTTTTAAAACGTACACAACCGTACCGTGGTGGGTTGGCTAGAGCACTTGCCTGCTAATTGAATGACCCAGGTTCGAATCCCAGCAGAACTCTTACTACTGGAACTACTCCTGGCTCCCACTGACTACACTACTGACATAAAATATCTCAGTTAGTCTCAATACTTGATCCAGGAGTTCCATTGTCTACTGGGTTTACTTCAAAATTACAAGGTTTTGGAATTGAACATTGATAGTTGTAAACCCAAAAATGGACAAACTATTCAATGCCGGTTATAAATTAAATCAAACATGCATAACATGATACCCTCAACCCAAACTGGGTGTTAGAGCCACATTTGGTTTCATTTGATGTAGATTTTTCTTCTTGTTTTCTTTCCTTAAATATCAAAGACCTGTTTTATTTATTAATTTTTTTTTATCTGACATGCATTTCCCAAGATGTCTATATTTTAAGCATTTTTAACCTCATTTTAATTTAATGTAAGTAGAGCTATCTGTGAACCAAAATTAAAAAAACCGCAGTTAAAATGGGAATATTTTTTTTCTGGAGGACCGAAATCTGCATTAAAAAATGGCAGTTCCTATTTAAGATTTTAACGTTTTACTCTTTTCCACACAGTGAGAATAGGGTCAATATGATATCATTGAATGTAAATTCTGACAATATTCACAAGTGCAAGTTAGGGATTTTGATTCGATGTATATGTCTCAAGAAACATGACCACTTTCATTCCTTTCGGACACTCTACATTACTTATTCAGAATTTGCTGAACTTTATCCATAGTTATGACCTTTCTAAAAGGATGTTTAGAAAAGAAAAAAAAAAAAAAAAAAAAAAAAAAAAAAAAAAAAAAAAAAAAAGAATATTTTATGCCAAACATTTAAAACAGTAATAAAATGTGTGATTGAACATTGAATTCCTGATTTGATAAATTTGATTTTAATCACATCAACATATATATAATTCAAACAATGATGAATATTGTATAAGATAGATTTGAAAAAAATCTTAAATTTTTACTTCACTACAAGTTTAAAAATGGTAGCAGGGAAAATGTTAAATTCTAAGAATTTTAAAACACATAGGTCACATATATGCATTTTAAAAATAAATATGCAAATTACACTGTATTATTCAAATTGTAGAAATGGCTTTATTGTTATTGTTAATAAAATTAAATATATATGTGTACATACAGTAAAAAACATTACAATTAAATACAGTATAAAATTTAATGAGACAAGATTTAAATTTTGAGAGTGTACCTCATTGCCATAAATCCGAAAAAAAATTCTTAAAATGTTTGGGAAGTTTAAAAGTTGCAGAGTAAATTTATTATTATTTTTTAAAATTCGAATTCAAAAACTTTTTATACATAGCTGCCAACATGGTTAGGAAAAATCCAGTAAATTTTACGAAATAATATAAATTTCATGATAATTGTTGCTAGGTATGCTAAATATTTTACACATAGGGAATTTCAGGGATTTTTACCATCATCAAATTAGAAAAACTGCAATATTTTCCAGTTACGATAAACATTAAATGATCTTGAAATGTTATGTATTATGTTTATTCATAATTTTGAATAGTAAGACATTTAATTAATCAAAAACTGAATTTCATAAATGAGGCTCATTTCCTTATGTATTTAGTGACACTTATTTAAATTTTCAAGCAAGCAATAATCTGCACAAAAATTATATTTCAATAGGGATTTTTCAAGGAAACTTACTGAATTTTAGGAAATTTTTAAAATGTACAAACACCAGGAGTATTTTTTATTAAACCAGTAGACCAGGTGAATCTGGCAAAATTCAGTAATCTACAGGAAAATCCAGTAAAGTCGACAGCTATGTTTATATGAAACACAGCACCAAGTGATATAAAATCTTTTTTAATGAGCTTCATTATAAAATACAAAATAATTATTTTGAAACGAAAGAAGTGGAAAAAAACTTACTTTTCTAGACACTAATTGAACTGCATCCTTGTCAAAAACATTTAATTCTTGAATGCGACTCATGATGATTTCTTGCAGTTGCTTAAAATTATATGGTTGAAATATTTTTCGAGTAAGACCCTGAAAGAAATGTTTTTATTTATTTATTTGACTTTAAAATATTTTGAAATCAAATGCAAAAGTCAATTTGTAGCACAAAATCTTCTCAAATTCAAACTAGTCAGCAATCCTAACACATTCACTCAAAGACTACTTTTGTTATAATTGCAGTCAATCTAACATGCATAACAGAAGCGTGTTACATGTAAGCATGAGATAAGGCCGGAGTTGGCAAGGTTTAGGACAGAATGGATTAATACACGGTTTAAACCAGTAAAAGATTGCAAATAATGAAAAGAAAAAAAACACTTTTTAGGTAATTTACAGTTAATGAGATGGTTAAAAGTTCCTTTAAGATGTTTAGAAAATGAATTCCTCACTAAAATTACGCAAAAGAAAGCAGACTTAATAGTTTAATAAAATTTTAAAAAATAAATAAATAGATAAAAAAACCCAAACATGAAGTAATGCTAACTGGTAACTTGTTTACTATTAAATGATCATATTTAAAATTTCAGGTAACAAAAAAAATTGAGTATTTTTAGCAACAATAAATAAATGAATTTAAGTGCATGAAACAAAAACATCTTATTGAACTACTGTTAATTTGCTTGAATAAAAATCAAAATCTAAGATTTAAATTAATAAAAGGCTTTAAATAGCAATAAAAAAGTCATACTAATTATAAAAAATTAAACAAATAATTTAAAAATTACTACCTCAAAATTCATATAAAATTGCACAACATTTTTTTCTCAGCACTTTAAAGTTAATAAAAAGTTCATTGTTTTAAGGCTATAAAAGATATATCACATTACTCAAAATAAATTTTAAAAATTAAATTATTGTCCTAACAATTTGTAAAGAAATGTTTTAATTAACTCTTAAATGTAACTGAGAATTTATAAGGGACATTAAAAATTATCAATCTACTTGAAATTCTATTCATCATAAGAAATTCTATTCATCATTACTACCTCAAAATTCATATAAAATTGTAAAAAGTTTTTTTCTCAGCATGCAAAAGTTAAGAAAATGCAATTTTTTTTAAGGCTATAAAATTATATTACTCAAAATAAATTACCAATCTACTTGAAATTCTATTCATCATGAGACGCTCTGGTAAGTCCATTGTGTTGGCAATAGCCAAGACAATCAATTTAGAATGCTTTTTGGAAGGCCAATCAAATATATTGTAAAGGACAGTTTGTTTCCTGGTCCATAATCGATCAAGTTCGTCGACCAATAATATCACAGCATCTTTCTTGGGTCCCTGTTCTGTGAAACGTTTTTCTAGGAGATTCGCTGCCTGCTGAGAGGCTATTGTTTTACCTGTAAGAGCCTGAAATAAATGGATTTCTTATATTGGACTATCGAAGCTTAACAATAAATTTATAAATATCAGAAGAGCATGAACTTTGATTGAAATTAACAGTTTCATTAAAGAAATTTGGAAAAAAATGGAAAGCTGGAATTAATTTATAAGAAATCACCTATTGCTGGATAAACATGTATCAAAAAACAGAAAAGGAACATGTGACAATAGAAAAAGGAATTGTTATTTTGTTTAATGCAATAAATGTGTTTAGTAAATACAAGTGAATTATCAACAACAAAAAATTAAATTACCTAAATGTTATAGAAAAAAAGGAATTGGTGTTTTGTTCAATGAAATAAATGTGTCTCAGTGTAAGTAAATTGCCAATAAAAGAAAATTACTTAAATACAACGAAAAAAAGAATTGGTATTTTAGTCAATGCAATAAATGTGTCTAGCAACTGCAAGTAAGATATGTTTATTTGATCCTTTACTAAAAAAATTCATACAAACGGAATCAGTTTACCAAAATTGTTTTTATAAGTGAATTATATTTTAATTCTTAAAAATTTAATACAAGCATTTAAGTTAGAAACCTTATGATAATAATATGGTAATTTTATTAAATAATATGGCAATGATAATTTTATAAAATAACTCATATACATATAATGATAATATAATATATAATGATATAATACACAAATAATATAATATAATACACAAATAAATTATTCAATTAGAAAAAAAGAAAGGAATGGTAAAATGATCCAACAACTGGTATTCACTCTCTAATGTATTAATTGTGAATGTCATATGTTTTTCTCAGACAAACACTTAATGGCTACTTTTGCACATAATTTATATTCACAGTACTTGTTTTTATAAATCAGTACAGCTAAACTTGAAGGCTATGAAGAAGAAAAAAACAAAACAAATTAAGTAATGTATAAATTTACAGTTAAAAAAAATGTAGTCCTCACTAATATTATTTTAAAGCAATGAGATAAGTCATCACTTATCTTATGGGTTTAAAAAAAATATTATTTTTAAATTTGTTTATTAGTAGTTAATGAGTACGAAAATTTTATGTAATCTTTCAAATTTTTTGTTCATTTCATAACTTTTAACTTCATAATTCGTTTGTTACTGTCTTACAAATCTTAAATTACAGTAAAACCTCTCCACAACAGTTTGGAGACAAAATAAATATATTGCTGCAGAGGGGTATATTATTATATCTAGGGCTTACGTACTTTGGGTACACAATAAGATTTTTTTTAAATTGTAATGTTATATGCATATTAACTATAAATCTTTTTATATTATACAAAAATTTAGTTTGCAGAGTGGTAAATATGGTTAAATATGAAATTAGATAGGAATGTTAAATCTGTGACTTCTTAAAAGGTAAGGGAGGCAATTATAAGAATGGTAGGCCTTGGGGTGTCTATGTACGTCAAGGATGGAATATTGAAATCTGAGTACAAAAGTCATTCAGTGTGGTGAAAAGAAATAAGATAAGTACATAATCAGCAGTAAGTCAGAAAAGACCATAAGAAAGACCTTGTCAGAAAAGACCATAAAAAAAGAAAAGGAAAAAAAAAACCGGCAAATTTAATAAAATAAGATTTGTAACATTATTTGAAACCCAATAAGAAAATAAGGTTGAAATTTGAAGAAAAAAAATCGTTTTTCAGAGGTTTATTGCTTCAGAGAATATTGCAATATGGAGAGGTGGATAACATTAATTCATATGCAAGTTTGTCGGGACCACAAAACATTAATGCAATAGAGGAAGTTATTGTTATATCGGATATCGTAGTAGAGGGAGTTCACTGTATTTCCTTTCTATCTCAATGTATATTGAAAATAAATTGTTTCGAAGATAAATTCAAATCTATGATTTAAAAAAAATGATTGATCAATTTAAACCAATAATTTCAATCATTTTATTCTAATTGATGGTAACTTGAATATAACATTACCTTGAATATATTGACATAGCATTGATATGGGTCAGTCACCCACATTCCATTCACCTCAACAAAATTAAAGATAGGCACCTCCCCCTCCTCTTTTTCATTCTCTAAATTTCGAATGACTTCGTGGACGGTAGCCGTTTTACCTGTGCCAGGAACTCCAGATATGTACATACACCTAAAACAACACATTATTATTATTTTTTATATTGCTTTTTGTAAACACGATGCTTTGTTAAAAAAGCGTAATAAGTCTTTAAAAAAATCAGCACTAATATAAAATTTGATTTGTTAGACAAAGATATTTAAAAAAAAAGTTAGGTTATATCAAAAAAGTTTAACAATAGAAAAAGAATATTTTATTATTGCTGACACCTTTAATAATTAGTATTTTTCTTCAGTGCATAAAATATTTTTTGGATGCTTATTTTTTGTTGAAGATTAAGCTATACATCCTGATATTAACTTATCATTAACCCAAAGAACAATGTTTATAACTTCATTATCACAACTGTCAGATAATAATTTTTTAAACTCGAAGATAATGAAAAATATAAGTGCTATAATTTTATAGTTATTTTTTTACTATAAATAAATTGATTCATTGAAATTTGTCTCTTTTGCTTACATAATTAAATTTTGTAGGTGGGCAAAAAAAAGAAAGAATAAAAAAAGGGTTTAAACTTACCCTCCAGTATGAGAACACAAACACCCTTTTACGAAGCTATAAATGTCTGAATACTCATCTACCCGACATGGAAGCGACTTTGGAACAGCTGATACATGTAATCTACAAAATCATAAAAATCAGTAAACAGAGAAAATACAGTTTAATTACAAGAAAATTATTAAACCTTAACGGACCAATACCACCATATAAGTGCCTTAATACTTATACTTACTGGGTCCGATGCCTCTTTTATGTCTGCAATTATTATTATTTTTTTTTTTTTTACTCTATCCATAGCCGATGTGGATAGGGAAAAATCAAGTAGATTTTAAGAAATATAAATTTCTTGATAATTGTTACAAAATGTACTAAATATTTTACACATCAGGGAATTTTATAGACATCAAAATAAAAAACTGCAATATTTTCCAGTTATGATCAACATTAAATGAACTTGAAATGTAATGTATTATGTTTACTCTTAATTTTGAATAGTAATAGGTATTTAATTCATCAAAGATAGTTAACTCATTTTTATAAAAGAGGCTTGCTTTTTTATGTATTAGTGACACTTATTTAAATATTCAAGCCCGCAAAATTTTTTATTTCAATAGGGATTTTTTAGTGAAATTTACTCAATTTTAGGGAAATTTCTAAAATGTACAAAAACCAAGAGAATTTTTATCAAACCAGTAGACTAGGAGAAACTGGCAAAATCCAGTAGAGTTGGCAGCTATGTTCACCACTCTTATTTTTCTCATCTTTACAATTAATTATAAAATAATAATTGATTATTATAATTTTACTTAGTGAGAAGCACGTTTGAAATACTTCTGGATCGTTAAGGGTTGAAATATTCATTAACTTAAAATATTACTTATATATAGAGTTCTAAAAATTGCACAAAGGTGCAAAAAAACCATAAGATTTGCAATTGTCCACATCATGTCCAAATATTCATATGAAATTTTATTTTCCAAAAAAAAATCTTTTTATTTACCAGATAAAATTCGCTTAATGTTTTTTCTTTCTTTTTTCTCATGTAACTTTATCCTATTTCCATATGAGTATTCTATTTTTATATCTATAAAATGATATTGAATTTGACTTTTACTGTAGTAACCTAATTTTAGGATTTAAATCAAATCAAAGAGCTAACTTAGCATAAAACAAAATTTAATTAATTCATTTCATATTTTTTTTAGGAATATTTATGTTTTATTTTTGTGGTCAAAACTCTTAAGCTTCGAAACTATTTGAGGATATTTTTTTTCTCATTCACCTTTCATTCCAAATTTGAAATTTTCCCACATTGTTATCTTCTTTGTTGCATTTCTCATTTTAATTTTCAAGAAAATTTAGAAAATAGTGGAATATAATGTCTTATGTAAGTATTAATAGTACCCCCTTCCCTTTTGCCTGGAAAAATAATTGAATCACAAACCATCCCGCCAGTCTACTTATTATTTAAATGGCCCTAAACCTAAAACAAGCTTGTTTAAACATGAAACATCAATGAAAAAAGAAATACACTTTGACCACAAATCATAATTCTTTTCATAAAGCTTTTAACGAAAACAATATACAGATTGCAAGCATTAGTTTTCAAGAAACGGAAAAAAAGAGAAATTTTAAATTGGCAAACGTTATGCCAGACTAAAATATTCTGATGTCCTGATAAATTTTTTCATGAAGCTTTTAACAAAAACGTTGCAAGCATTAGTTTTCAAGATACAAAAAAAAATTTAAATAAGCAAACCTTATGCGAGACTCTTCTAAAATATTTTGAGGTCCTAATAATTTTTTTTCAGGAAGCTTTTAACGAAAACAATATCAGATTGCAAGCATTAGTTTTCAAGAAGAAGAAAAAAAAGACATTTTAAATCAGCAAACCTTAATCGAGATTCTTCTAAAAGATTCTGAGGCCCTTTGAGTGGTGTCTTTCTATCAGGCATGGCAGACAAGGACTTTTTCCTCAAAAGAGAATTCTTCTGAAATGAAAACAACAAAACAATAATTTGCTATTTGCTAAGGACTTTAAATTATTAGTCAGTAAATCAGCCAAATAACAAAAGCATTAGTCTAACTTCAAAATTCTTAACCAAAGGTAAAGCTTAACAAATTTTATGATTGATTTTTTTAACATAGAAACCTTTAAATCAAAATACAATTTCACTATAAATTGAACTATTTTATAAAATGCAAATTCAAATCAAGAGTAGTTTTACAGTTGGGAAGGAGTAAATGAGCGATAAATGGGTGAAAATATGAAAAATGTAGATGCTTAAGAGTATTTGAGGAAAATAAATAAGAATAGGTTGGGGTTAATTTTTGGTAACTTCTTAGACTAGAGCTGTAATATACATATAAGATAAACTTATTATTTGTTCTTTAAGCTTTTTACTGATCACAGCTGAAACAAACAGCAATACCATTATTGAAGCTTAAAAATGATTTTATAAAAAATGCAGGAAAATAACACAATGGATGGATGACCGTGTAAAGCAAAGAGCAGATGGCGCTAGGGGTTAAAATTCGTCATGCCGGGATACTACTTCCGACTGATTTTTACACCTAAGTATGAAAAACGCTCCAACCAATATTATTATATAGTTTGTCTAAAGTAAGAACTCCCCTAGAAATTCGCATGCACTCGTGTCGGTTACTATCGTAACAAGGTATTCAAATATTTCAACTAGGGGTACGGGGTCATTGCTTAGGACAGGTTTTGGTCCAGGTCGGGGAGAGAAAGGTAATTTTTTTTCTTTGGTTTATTATGTTAGCTCTAGAGTGAAGAGAAATTACCCTCCCTGAAATGCACTATTCCTGTTTCCACAGCAGCAGAAGGCCTCGGACATTGTGGCGGGGGGAGGGAGTTCTTACCATAGACAAACAGTACTGTTTTCAATATAACACGTTCTATCCATCTAACTTTCAACGAAATAAACAAAAATGAATTCGGAAGACTCCGCAAGCTTGCTATGATGCGACACGAAAAAATAACAAATGGTGCTATTTTACACAAATATAGCCAAATAAAGGATAACACTCAAAACATGGCTAACCTTGCACCTTTTTTATGCTGTGATTTTAATTTTCTTAAATTTGTTTTAAATTACAGAAAACACTTATAAATGGTAAAATTATGTGCAAATTTAAACATAAATCACAATAATAAAACTTCCCAGAACATTAAGCCCGTTCATATATAGCCTTGTAAGCACAACTTAAGCGGAGGGATACATTGGACAGGGTGCGTAGCCAAATCTTTCAACAAAAATAAGCACCTTTTAAGTACTTTTTAAGCATTCAAAAAATATTTTTAAGCACTATATACATTAACAAAATGCAAAATAATTTTCAAACACTTTACATGATCATGAAAAAATAACTAGTTTCTGGCAAAGAACTCTTTTTCTTGATCATATTAGCCATTATAAAATGATCAAGAGATTTTTCGGCTCGATATCAGGGGTCGGAAAATGAATCCTGAAATTCAGAATATCTTGCAAAATGTAACAGAGAGAGATTCTTGCACACGAGAGTGCAAGAATCTTACTGAAAAGAGAAAATTGAAGAAACAATTTTCTCTTTTCAGTAGGCAACAAAACACGAGAATCATGCGCAAGAATCTTACTGAAAAGAGAAAATTAAGCACTTTAAAAAAAACATCCAATGGAAAAAGCACCTTAAGCACTTTTTAGAAACGCTACGCACCATGATTGGAAGTTTTCTAAATTTCTTAAGGTTTTAGGAAGCTTGTTATTGTTTACGTTCATTCAACCACCCATAATAAATGAGTAGAAAAAAATATAGCGAAATGAAGTGAGGGCTCACAATTGATTTCGATCTACTCCTCTTCTCCCTTGTCTTAGGTGTCTTCTCTTCCTCACATTCAAATTCAATGTCTTCATTCTCGGATGAGCTCTCTTCCGAAGACACTGAATATGCGCTCTCACTATCATCGGAATAAGTAGTTCTGATAAACTTGGATATCTTTTTCTTCGCATCTGCCATCACAGTTTTTGATTCATCATCAGAGCTGTCAATAGAAACCATAAAGACTTTATCGCAATAATGCAATTAAATGTAAAAATATTTTACTGAGACAACAATGTTTGTGTTCTAATTAAATAAAGCCAATATATATACATATAAACACACACACACAAACATGTATACAGTGAAACCTCCTGGAAAGATCCCCTCTGTGTAGCGACCACTTTTGTGAAGTACAGAATATTTTCCATAGATTTTAGTGAAAACATTTAGGAGAAACCATCAAAAACTCTCTTAGGGATCGGGAAAACTTTTGCACGGTCAAATGAGGAATAACTCACTCACTTTTAAATAATAATTACACACATTACATTATTTGTGTTTACAGATTTAACTACAATTACTATTACAAATATTTTATTAAAATTAATCTCAACTGGTTAATTTTTTATAAACTTTCCTTTTTTTTTAGGTAGGGGGTGTATAAAAATAGATTTTTTAAGTGGTTTTAAATTTTAAAATTATTTTTTGATATATAACTTTTTCAAAACTTATAATACACCTTTAACTGCTCATTTTTTTCGTAATTCAAAGAGTTTAAATTATCGAAAAAAAGCTTTCAAATTGTTACTCGTTTAATCACTTTTTCAGGTTTTTCTGTAAAAAAAATTTATGCTTAGAGATTGTTTTTACCACACTTTTAACTATTTTTTATGAGCTACAAATTGCTCTCTTGCCTTGATATTTTGCGAGAATTACTTTTTGAGATATAGACTACCCTACAATAATGGAAGAGACACTTTGACTTTTTGACATCTTTTTAAATTTCTCAAGAAATGCTTAGAGGATTATTTTATAAATTTAAAGATGTTAGCAAGATAATTTTGAAATCAATATATAAATAAATGTATTGAATTCTCACTTACTCATTTATCACACAACGTGGTACTGACTTAACCTTTCTCCCAGATCTAGTAATTGTGTATTCATCAGCAACAGAAAATTCTAAACGCCTGGGAGTCTTTGCTTTTTTGCTAGGAGAAGATTCCATTGCAATACTTTTTCTAGGACTGGTGCTTCTTTTCGATCCACTCTTTAGGATTTTTTTATCATTATCCATTCTATTGGATGTGCCATTATTAGAACTATCCACTTTTTTGGGTGTGCCAGTTTTAGCATTATTCACTCTTTTGGGTGTGCCATTTTTAGCATTATCCACTCTTTTGGGCGTGCCATTTTTAGCATTTTCCACTCTTTTGGGTGTGCCATTTTTAGCATTTTCCACTCTTTTGGGTGTGCAGTTTTTAATTCTAATTGAAGTCCTAACAGGGGTCTTATTTTCAAATAATTCTTTTGAGCTATTATTTTTCCACTTCCTATTCAAGTTTGTGTCATGCTGACTTTCGGCATCACTGGTGAGACAATCCATGTCCGAATGGTCACTCTCGTTGTTTTGGCTGGACACCGTGAGTGAGTGTATGTACGGGCGCTTCATGGTTTTAGATGGACTGAGGAGAGTCAACTCATCCAGATTGGCTGTGACATCCTCTATTGATTTTGCATCAGACTTCGCAACGAGGATCCTGATGTTCTCATTTTTACAGGCTAGTATTTTGTCATCGATTCTTCTGATTAAAACTCTGGGGTACATGGGGCTTCCAGTTGTCGTTGCAATATATAAATCCTTCTTTCGACTAGGCTTAATATCTAAGAAATATAAGTAATGATATATGCATTAGCATGTGTTTAAATTTTTTCAATCTATTTAGGGCAATTTTACTGTCTAAGAATGCCATATTTTAAAAACATGTAAATCAATTAAAAAAAATTCGAGCAATTCGAATAATTTTTGTGAAAATAAATCTGTGTTATTTACATTTGTAACAATCTTTAAAAATTTCCTAAGATTAAAATTAAAATATAGGTGTTACGGGCGTAACACAATGTTATGTCCACAATAGCGAATTTTAAATGTTTCAAAAATTTTTTTAAATTTTTAAAAAAGGAGTAAGTATAAATGATATCAAGACTTAGATTTACAAAAATGTTTAGAAGCCAATCATTCTATTTTTTAAGAAAAAAAAATAGTTTTATCATCTCATTTACAGTAGAGTAAAATGATGATAAAAATATTTATTTGGTTATGCGACATAATAATTTCTCTAGATTAGTTTTATAAGCAACTTTAGCTTAAAGATCCATAAAAACAATTTTCTTAGATTAAATTTATTTGAAGCAATTTGTAGTTCAAAAAAGAACTTCAGTGAAAAGAAATGAACAAATTTTAAAATAAAAAATGAAACAAAGCAAAGAGAAATAAATCAAATATACCTAAATATCCTTTTATAGGGCCATATTTTCTATTAAAACCATGTTAAAAGATTTTAGGGATTGATTTCTAAAAAGAAATTCATTTAGCTTTTTACCTAATTCCCAAAATTTTACATTAATGAAAAGAATTGGCCATAAACTTGAACATCTGTGCTTAAAAATAATTGAACTCAGGGGGGAGTGGTTCACCCTGGGACACAGTACACCTTGGGACATTTTTATTTTTGGTCTTAAGTTATCTTTTAGTTCTTTTAGATTCAGATATACGTCAGCATCACCTAACCTTGGAACATATTTTGATTCTATTGATTAAGCAGGTAAGAATTTATTAAAATTTTTATTTTTTGAAGCATGTTTCTTTACTTTTATATAAAAGTTTAATTAGTTGTCGAAACAAATTTTAATAATTTTTTTTTCAATAATGGGTATTATAATGAAGTATAAATCTTTGCCTTTAGAAGTTATCAAATTCTAAGTCTAAAAGTATGATATTTTAAAATATCCTATTAAGTATATAGTGCACCTTGGGACAGATGGAGGTGGCCCACCTTGGGACATTAGATATGCATAATTGATCCTTATTAAAAATAGATATTTAACAAAAAGACATTGTGCATGCAAAGTATTTTTTAATTTATATAATCTGTGTTTATTAATAGTTATTATTTCTTATTTTAGGAACTCATTAGACGTAACTAATCACAAGAATTGGAAGCAAAAAGTATAAAAATAATGCAGCAATTTGTGCTAACAATGTTGAAAAAGCAGCTGCAAATTTTATCAGGGGAAATGACTTGTAAGAAAGTTGCTGAATTCTACAGTATTAGTAAGACCACACTGAACCGCCATTTCATTTGCTTTAAAAAAAAAGAGAGAGCAGCTAAATTCTAACTTTCAACATATTTTAAATATACAGAGTCCCAAAATATTCACAGATGAAAAAGGAACAAATTTGGTACACTATATGTTACAAGCCTCCAAGTACCATTAAGAATTAACACCTTAACTGCCGAGTAAAATTAACGTGATTCACTCCCCAGTGCCGTTTTTCGCTCAAATGCACTTTCCTACAGGGTGTTTTGGTGGGGGAAAATGATGCACGCTTTGCAATTTAGAAACAGTTTACAAGAAAAAGGAAAGAAATAAAATACAAAATTTAAATTAAATAAAAATACAGTATAAAAGATGTAAAAACTTAGCTGTTGTATGATAAATCCTGAAACATGGTAGGACACATAAGACAACATCACATTCATCGCACTGACAGCGGTAGTCACAAAGAATTTTTATCTTGAACAAACAGCACATTTTTGCGATGCATTGTCCACAATAGCGAATTTNAAAAGCACCAAATACATACGGGAAAAGAAAGCAAAAAAAGAATAAACCCTACCTTACTCAAATAAATACACACAAGCGATTAATACGATATCACTTTTCCATAACATCCTTTTCCCATTCCCCCTCCTCCGAAATTAGTAATACATTCGCAAAGCAAACACTTTCAAGGCTATTTTACAGCATTCTGAAGTAGGGGGTGTAATTCTATTTATAGCACCGCAATGCAAAGCATCGTACATCGGGAAAGCGTATATATACGCCTGCGGCAGTTAACGCATCGTCTGGCCGAGACGTATATATACGCCCGCGGCAGTTAAGGGGTTAACAATATGTGATGCACATTCACTTACATATGAGTGTGCTATGCCAAAACAAATGAACATTCCTCCAAATTGTGGAGAAAGTAAAAAAAAAAATCTGGGAAGATGAGGATTTAATGCTCTCAGAATTAGTAACAAATACATCCAGAAGAAAACCAGTAATTAGTGATTTAAGCAATCATAACAGTGATGATGAAGCTTGCAGCTTAAATTAAATGAACAGTGAAAGTGACAACCAAATATTTGACAATAAAAAAAAAGTACATATAGAAAAAAGTAGTGAAACAAGATTACATATTGGAGAATTTGCTAATATCAAATTTGCTGGTAAAAGATCTGTTGTTGCCTTTGTAGGTTGCGTTGAAAGAGTTGGTGGAGATGAGTAAGAGTTATCAGTTTTGAGAAGACGGAATCAATTTGCAACATTTATTTATCCCGAAAAAGAAGACAAATCATACATAGATTCAAATGACATTTCGTTAAAAATTAAGCAGAGCAAAGCTTTGAACGTTCTTTAGGTTTGGTATTTGATCTTAACAATTGGATTTGCATACAAGAAGTTGAAAGGGACAAAATAAAGCTTTATTAACAAAATTAAAAAATTTACATTTATTTACTTATATTATTTTTAGAAAATTTCTACTTAAGTTTTCACATTCTTTTTACTTTCCCAAGGTGCCCAACTAGGGGGTACACCATGGGACAAATAACAAGGTTAACTAAACATTTTTTAAAACTTTTCCTATGACAAATACAAAATCAAAACCTAGTTTAAAATGTTACAAGAGTACCAAGTAAAAGTTTGACAATAATTGATCAAAATAAAAAATTTTTTAAAAAAATGAAAAGAAAAAAGTGTTCTAAGGTGAGCCACTCTCCCCTATAAAATCTGTGAACTACAACTAAACTCGATGAAAAATTATTAAATGAAAAAATACATAATGCACAAGAAAAAATAGCTTCCTAGTATTGGTTCTTTTCTTGATCCCATGCTAACCTTTACTGTTACCCATATTTATGTATAACCGAATCCTTCATTGATAAATATTTTTTTATATATTCTTTGAGGTTATCAGCACATGGCTACACAAATAATAGTTGCAAAATAGCTTCCATTCAAAAATTAAAAATTAAGGAAGTGGTTGGTAAGTAAAGTTACCACGGCCTGACTAAGGCAGGGTACTTAGCCAGATTGTTCAACAAAAAATAAGCACATTTTAAGTACTTTTTAAGCATTCCAAAAATATTTTTAATCAGTTTCCAAAAAAAAATATCATAATTAGGATCTGTGCTGAAATAAAAAAAATTTCTATCGTTAAAAGTTCTTAAATTATAAACATAAATACTGCACAGAAAATTGTGAAAATCATGCATTTTTTGTAGTTATGAACGACAATCGAAACGGCAAAAGAAAAAATCTCTTTTTAAAGGACAGAAAATTAAACACTTTTTACAATCCCTGAATAAAAAAAAGCACAGTTAAGGGCTTTTAAAAAACATAAATCAAAAATGTGCACCTTTAAGCACTTTTTAAAAAAATTACGCACTCTGTAAGGGTTTTATTTACCTTTGTTGTTTAGTGATTTGCATATGAACCGAGAATCTTCAAGTGGCTTCAGTTTATAGCCCACAAATCCATAACGGCAAAAGAAAACGGCTTCCCCATTCCGGCTGTCGTTTGGAGGCTCCTCATATAATTTTAAAAATGCAATCTATCAAGTAAAAATGTACTTTAAATTTGATTTTAAAGTTATTTTATGATACAAAAACAAAATGTAAATAAAACTTGAGTACTGTCGCAGACATAATGAACTTGCAACCTGTGAAACAATTATGAATCACTGAAACAAATAAATAGTTTGTCTAATTTAAATGGACATCACTGGATAATACCATCAGCTAAAATTATTTTTGCGACAACACACAGATTGATTTCAATGTAAATGACATTATAATTATTTATGTATTTGCAAGAAAAGGAAATAAACTTTTTGAAAGAAAATGCATAAATCAGTATAAAAGTGATCTTTAAAAAATAATGATTGGGACGATACCTAAGAGGATGCCATACAGTGGAAGATAATTTTCGTGGCAAATTCTTTTTATCCTTCAACACTTATTTAAAATTTACAAGAAAGAAAATTTAAGTTCATGCATACGAGAGTAGGTCATGAAGTTTCAGTTGCTGAAAAAAATGCTCCAAAATACTAAAATGCAAACAAATTATTAGAAGAGAACTTCACTGTTGCATAATCTTAAGCTATCTTCTAATACTTTATTTTCATTTATATATTTTAAAATTTTCTTTCCAGTATTTGAAACTTCATGGCTTACTCTAGGTTTGTCTGAACTCAACTTTTCTTTCTTTTAATTTGGTAATGAAGAGAAAAAAAATTTTGCAAGGAAATTTTTCTTTCGCAGTATGGCATCCTCTTAACAAAAATATACAAATGATGATAACTATGACACGTTTTTCTCTTAATTATTCTACCAATCTCTCATAAACATCTGCATAAAATAAAGGTTGAAACTCTTGCCTTTGTTTTAACTTTGGATAAATAAACTTTAAAATTTTGTGCAAGAACCTTTAAATTTATTTCAAAACTCTCTGAGATGGCAAAATACACAAAATGAACAATATGGGATAAAAACTTTCGACTGCTTTCCTGCCTAAACTATTGCGACCATATAAAATACAGGGTCTGTAGCTATATTTTGAGGGTCAAGAATATAAATGCGCAAAAAAAAAAAAATTCTTTTCAGAGAATATATGTTTTTGTACCTAATTTTGTAATTTAAAATATTGTTTGCACCAATTAACTACAGTACAGAACCCGTTATCTGGAAATCAGAAAACCGGAACAAATCTCGATAAATTTTCATGCCATTTTTAAAAAACATTTTTTTTTACTCATAAGATTTTAGGATTTTTTTCTTTTTTGAAAGATGTTTACCTTATCATCATTTTGGAAATAATAATTAGTGTATTCCTTCATTGTTTTTTCTTCTTTTTAAGATTATTTCTAAAAAAACATTTTTTTTGTTGGGTTTAACAATAAAGCAATTCAGAATACCGGAAAAATCAGTTATCCAGAATAGCGATAGTCCCAATCGTTCCGGATACTCGGTTCCCTACTGTACCATAGTTATGGATAGGCCTTCAAGCTATTTATCAATATTGAGTCCTTGTACATGGTAATCTGATTACTAGATCAAAACTTATTCAGGGTGTTCTCTTTTCTTGTGCACTGTACAACAGTGTTTCTTCACTTACAAAGTATACATTCAAATAAAAAGAAGAAAAAATTGATAATTTTTTCTTAACCTATGAGTTATCAATACTTTCACAAAGGTGATAATGCTATGACATAATGCCAAAAATAAGAAACTGATATTTTGTAAAAATAGAAAGAAAGAAAAACATTAATGATTAATTAAAAATAAGAACTTGGAAGTTTGCATGAAAAAATTAAGAGCCAAAACTGCAAAAATGAACATTTTTTTCAAGGTCTTCATAACAGTTATGAATTCCAAACTTAATAAAAATGATTTTAAAAACCTGTGCTCACCTCACACTTGTCAAAAATGGTTTCTGCATCAATTACATTTGACCATCCTTTTCTATTATCTTCTACAACTTCGAAATCATAAATCTGATCTAATGACTTCTGACAATGAATTGGCAAGTCTGAAGTTCGAGAAAACCATCTCACATGAGCTTGATAAGGTTTATGAACAGAGTCTAGAAGAGTTTGAGAACAGAACTATTACTTTCTCAAAAATAATTTATTATAAAGAAAAAAAACAACTAACACATCTTTAGGTGGGGACATGAAATTATTTGCTGTCTGGGGACCAATAATAGTCAAATAACTGACAGGTTAGCCAATAATAGTTACCTGTCTCATATAAATCCTTGATTTGTGCAATAAAACAGTTAAAAATGTCTTCAGGATCAACAGAGTTGTCATTGCGTATCAGAACATAATCGCCAATGTTGTAAATGACGTCACCACAAGTAAAAGACCTAAAGAGTTCAAATTCACATTTAATATTTTAATTTCTTTTCATACACAAATAATAATTACTAAATAAATAAAAACAATTTAAATGTTTTAATCTCTTTTCATAAATAAATAATCACAAAATATGTATAAACAAGCTTAATTGATTTCAGTTTGACAAAATGGATGAGAATTCAAGAACAGATAAGAAATACAAAACAACAAAGGTTGCACTATAGATTTAATGTTGTATTTACGAATACTGGAAGAAGTAATAGACAACATGTTAGCAAAAATATTAAAGCTTAAAATAAACTGTAGTTAATATGTGAGGTAACAATATTGTTTAATATTTACTGGATATGATATAATGATAATTTTGTTGGTACTCACAAAAGGGTTTGTCATATACTGGATACTCTTAAAAAATTGGGTAATTTTTTTAAAGGAACCCACTTGTTTTAAAAGTTTATTTCTCCGAATATTTTAAATAAATTAATAATAATTATTTCAATATAACAATTAATTAATATTAATAAATAAATAAATTACAAGTTTTTTAAATAATAAGTTGATTAATTAGTTTTGGATTCAGACAAAGTAAATAAGTTTTATTGAAATGAATTAAAAATCTATCAGTTATAACTAAGAATTCACAATAAAGAAAGGGATATTTCCATATTGTGGTCGGTCCAGCCAATTACAATCACCAAATGGACTAAAAAGTTGCACTTTTTTTAAAAGTAAATGTGTGAAGGTCTGCTTAGGGTGACTATGAATTATCTCTCGCGGAAATTGCTAAAACCTGGTGATTATTCTGCAGCAGATCACCACAATATGTTAATCTTACCATAATTGAAGAACTACATTGATTGGATAATTAAAATTACTATATGTTGTGAATTTTGATAATGTAAGATACAAATATGATTTTAGTTAAATGGCAAACTCAATCTTGTAGAACTTCTAAAAATTTAGTAATAGGTAAGCCAGAATTTTATTCTTACCCAGCGTTACCGATACGAGAACATTTCGCACTTATATAAACTGTCACTCAAATAAAGTCAAAATTGCTTTCTCCTAGAATCTGCACAATATCCCAATAGTGTAGAGTTTTAGTGCTACAATTAATATCAATTCCAAATAGAATGTGTTTTAATAAAATAATAACAAAGTAAGAAACAATTTAGGTTAATTAAGCGTGTCTGACCTCGCATTAAAATAATTAGTTGGAATAATTATAATCTTATAGTAAACACAATGTTTAATGACGTACTTATAAGAAAATCCTCTTTTAGAAGGAGTACTTTTACCAATCCATTGAAAGTCATTCATTTTTAAGAATAAAATATGATAACAAACGATATATAGAAGAAGAAAAAAAAGGATGAGCAAGTTATAAACTAAAAAAATACATAAAATAAATTTTTAAATTTAGGGCAAAATTCACTCTCAACTAAATCGACCATGGAGTCGACTCATATTTGTAAACAAATAAACGCGCCAGAAAATTTCTTTCTTTCACTTCAGTTGAATAACTGCTGTAATGCCGAAACCAGAAAATCTATTGATTTTTAAAAGCTATCGATAAAGCCACTATCTATAGAGTTTTTAATAAAAAATCTGGCAACTAAACAAATCAAATTTGTTCAGTTTAAAAATAAGTTCTTGTTTTCGTGTGAATTTAGTTATAAGCCGCTTATTATCTTATATAGAGTGTTGTTGATAGTATAATTACATTATATTTTAATGTATCTATTTTCTATTAATATTTAATTTTTTTTCAAAGATGCTTTGCAAAATTGAATCATTTTAAATAAAATTCAATGGCCAGTGATTTGGATAACTATCAGGTCGCATATTTTAGACTGCTAAAATTTTTCCTAAAATATTTATGACATTTTAAATAATCAATTAAGAATAATATTATTTATAATAAAACACCCATTTGTATCAATGCATCGCATGCAAAATTCTTGTTTGAAGTTTTACTAATAAATATTTCTCTATTTTTATTTTCTTTTCCCCTTAAATAAAGTAAAATTTAATTTTTTTTTCCCTTTGTGGGAAGAGGAGAGAAGACACCATATAATTTTTGTTGTTGTTAATTACTAATTGGCTGCATGTTCAACTTTAATGCAACCACTGTATGGGATTGACTTAAATGAAGTTCAAATTTATGATTTGAAATCTTTTAATATGAAATTGAATTCGACAATTATTTCCTATTTGAGTTCATTTTTTATGCTAATAATTTTCTGTTTGTTTCTTCTATAACAGTCTATCCATGGTAAATTTACTACCGTTTAGGGGTACCTTCACAAATTCAACTTTAGAGAAAATGGTAGTTTCACAAAATACTTTTTCTTAAAATTTTATTTTTGTATCTCGTAAGAAATGATCTATCCTTATTTTAACTATATTTTTGTGTTGAATTTTCAATATAATTTTTATTTTTTACAAATTATATCAAAATTTTCTCAAAGTAGGTACCTTTCAGAAAAACCTACACAGACCTCTCAAGGTCATTACATCAATAGTTAATTAAAAATAACTCTGTGGAATTCTTCATTTCTGTGATTAAAATGCAATAATTTATAGCATAATTAATAAGGTGTATTTCCCATATCTGAGGGTTTTTCCGTATGGTGAGCTGCCCCGCCAACTACAATTGCCAAAGCTCCAAATTGATTCTTCAAGGAAAAATTAAGAAAAAAAAAATCATGTGAAAGTTTACCCGGGGATGACCACAAGTTATACCCTTCAAGTTGGTCTCTTTCTGTGATGTTTTTTTCTTCTCCTTTTTTGATTTCTCCTGGGTCACTGCCCGGATGTTTCCAAGACATGGCGATGATTCTGCCACAGATCACAATACAGAATTCCTCTAGTTCGCACAGCAATGGAAAATCATTTTATTATGTCAATATAATTATTGGATACATTTAAATTTAGGGGAATTGGGGTATTTCTATAGTTGGACCTGTTGACACCAACTGTAATCATGAATGTGCCAAAGGGTTTTTGTGTTTCAAAATATGTGCCATAGTTTGTTTAGATTTGGTTTGGTGCAGATTATGCTCTTTAAATCTGCCTCAATGTCTGCTCTTTTATCCCATCTTTTGTGACACTATCCACTCTGTCACCAAAACTTAGATATTATTTTGATGCCAGTACCAATATGGAACAAAAAAGTTAATTCATTCTTCTAATTTTAATGTTCTTTTGTTTACAGAATATCGTAGGTGCTACATAACTCAATTATTTAGCCAAGTTAAACTGTGATTTGGAAAATATTCAATCCATGTGTTTTAATTATAAATTTATAACTGAATTTAAAATTGAATTTTTAATTCAGTTAAACTCTGAGTTGCAAACTGTTAATTATATGTGGCTTAACTATAAATTTCTAAATATATTCAATTTAATAATTATCAAATTTCATTTCAGACTTTAATTGAAGCCACAAACTGTAGAGACTCCAAAGAAGTGTTGAGACTTTTAAATGAAAATATTTTTTCTGTAAAGGTACGTTGTTTTAATTTTTTTAGAACTGTAGTCCCATATTCAGACATCTGTCTGTTCTAGGAAAGTCTATTTTCCGGGGAGATTTTTAATAATCAAAATAAACAAAACTCTTTTCCTTTTGAAAAAAGAAAAGGAAAAATTTTTTTTATTTATTTATTTATTTTTTTGAAATTATAGCTGTTTTTCTGATAGTTTAAAAAATTTTTCTCCATCGATAAGTACTCTAGTAGTACTCTAATATTGCTGAAAAAGCAAGTGCAGTTAAAGAAAAACTAATTTTGGGAAGAAGAATAAACTGAATATTAATTAAGCTGAATATTAATACTGTTTGAAAAGAACACCAGTAGACAAGCTTTGTTTCGCTTAAAATTGAAAAAAAATAAAAACTTCAGCAAAAAAAAAAAAAAAAAAAGCTTCAGCATAAAGCAAACATCTATTATGGTTTATTTTGTAAGTAAATGAATTGTTATTTAGTATGTTATAATTTTCTTTCTTTGTATAGCTATAGTTAATATTATTAAAAATATTAATTATTTAATTTTTAGAAACATTTTTGTTGCGTTTTAGAATTTTTAATAGGTTTTTCTATAATGCACTTTTTTTGTTGGTCCTTTAAACTGGCACATAAGTGAGAATTCAATGGTATATTTTATCATACTAAACATTATTTAGTTTTTAAAAGTCATTCAAACTGTAAGAAAACATTATGTGTTGATTTGTTATTTTTTATTGAATAATACATGTTTTGATGCATTTAAAATCTCTTATTCGGAAGAAATCTATATTCCGAATTTGCCAAAGTCCCGGCAATTCTGGATATGGGACTTTATACTGTATTACGTTTGAATAATTACTGTTAGTATTAAATTTTATAAAAAAATGAATAAATAAAAATAATAATTTTTGGGAATATTTTCTTATTGATACTTAATTTCAATATTGATATTTAATTTTTATATTGATACTGAATATTCCAACTGAAATTAAAAATAACCCATTAAAAATGCTGCATTCTTGCTCTTGAAATAAATTTTAAAAAATATACTGTGCTATTATGATGGTTATGAGTTTTACAGTTCTGTTATTTTTTATTGTAGTAAAGATGTAGAAAAAAAAACTAGAAAAAAAATATAAATATTATTTCACAAGAAGAAAAAATTATTAAAAATAAAATATTTAAAAAAGTATTTTTTAAAAAATTTAAAAGCCGGAAAACAAATTAAGGAAAAGATATAATCTTGTCATCAGCTCACTCGATTATATTCACAAAAAGAATGCATTCTAATATTGTGTTAATAAAGCCGAAGCAAAATATATTTATGTAATTATTTTTCTTGTAATTATTTTTATGTTTATCATGTATTTAAAAATATTTATTTATTTTTTCCATGTTTGCTCTATATTTTTTACTTAGGAGTTTTATGTACTTGCAGCCTATACACTGTGAATAAAACTTTTTTTTTTCTTCTTAGTCACAAATATATATATATTTTTGTAACATATTTTAAATTTCTGGCATGCCACTGCCAAAACTTGATTATAGTTTTGGCACAGGTACTGGTGTGAAAATGTTCTTTAATATTTTCTGAAGGATTAAAAAATATCACATAAGTTTGAAAAATATTTAAGAAATATCCATAAATATTTTATTTATTTCAAATGGCAGAAGTGAATTGACATGTTAGAAAGCAAAAACACAGGAACAAAACAAGAAAGTAAAATGTCATTTCCTTAGCAGCGTTCTTGCTTCCCAATATCGCTCGGTAGACGACGACCCGTGGAGGGCCCTGCAGCACAGAATGTGGCTGCCATCCAAAACAGCTTGGCTCATGCACAGAGAACAATAGGGATCAGGTGCAGCCCTAAACGAAACAGGTGCGCGGCCAGTCTGGAATGGTGTTCTGTCAAAGATCTCTCCACACTTTGGTTTTTACTCTTTCTGACAATTGATGATGGAAATCCCCATTGATTTTTGATCTAATAATCCTTTTTAAAGTTGAAAAATATCCATAAATATAATCAATGTAATATTGAATATCCCCAAAAATTCTCATATCTTGAGAATTCAAGTAACAATGGAAAATGATATGTTTTGCTTTTGCCACTATTTGTGAGAATATTTATATTCTTGGAAAACATTTCGTTACAGATTTCTTTTACATCTACATTCATTTGAGAATTTTTTTTCTTGCCAACTTCAGCGATAACGTGCGTGCAGATAAGTGTGATATAATGCTGGAGAGTGTGGGAATCATAATTGGTGTTTATTTTCATTTTAAGTTCAATCGCCAAATATAAGTTTGACCAGAAATTTACTAAACTGTAATAAGAATTTCACACACTTTGGTGTTTACTCTGCACTGAGTGGCTTTAATTGTATGATTGAAAAGTATTAGCATGTTCACTTATAGTGTGAATGCTATTTCTTGTTGTGTGAGTTTCTTGTATAAAATTAAAAAAAATATGTAGACAAATAAGTAGACCAGTGAAAATGTATGGAAATGTGTAGTCACTGGTTTTGCCAACTATTAACTCAATAATTGGGCCTGAAGGAAATTGTTTATTCTTATCGTTCATAATAGTAATCTTTTGAATATTTTTTGCAGGATGGTAGAATTTTCAGATTTTTATGTGATTCTGAAAATGAAGCAAATTGTCTTCAGGAATGTCATTGTTCTAAAAAGGAAAGGGACATAATCTACATGTTAATTGACTCTGGTTTTAACATAGAAGAATTAGATGAGGTAAATATCAAGACTGTGACCCAAAAACAATTTGAGTTTTTTATTTTGGTAATTTTCTCCTACAAATATTTTTTTTTTACAAAACTATCATTGCTGATCACTTAAAATTACAATTAGTAAAATTCTTAATATGTACTTTACAATTACGCAGGATTATTATAATTAAAGTTGCCCCTTCAGAATGCTGTAACAAAGAATCACATGATCGGATATTTCATCTGAGCAACGTAAGTGAATCGATAGGAATTTGTTTTGCCTTAAAAAAATAGTTTAATATTTGACTGATAGATGGCGATCATCTAAAAATACTAGTTAAAAAAACATAACATGTTACTGTGGTATTCTTTTTTCCAAGTACGTATCTTCTAATCCTGTGTTAGCATCTTAAAAGTCCCATACAATACCATCTAGTGGTTAACTTATGAACTATTTTTTTTTCTTTACTGAGGCTTTTTAGTGTTTATAAGTTAAAAAAAAAAACAACGCTTCCCAAGGTTTTGGAGGTCAAAACTGAAGATTCTCTAAAAATTAGAGAAAAACACATCTATTTACATGCAATAATACTTTTTGTGAAATAAGTAAACAAGGTGCATAGCGTTTTCAAAAATTCCTTAAATTTGCTTATTTTTGGATTTATGTTTTTTAAAAACCCATAAAGGTGCTTTTTTTATTCAGGGTTGTAAAAAGTACTTAATTTTCTATCTTTTAAAAAAGATATTTTTATTTATTTGCTGTGCCGATTGTCCTTCTAAATTACAAGAATGCATGTTTTTCACAGTTTTCTCTGCAATATTTATCAGAAATTAGTTATTTTACCATGATTATGCAAAGTTCTTGAAAATGTTTTTTAATTTTATTGATTTTATGCTTAGAAATTAAGAGCATTTTGCATTATATATATATATACATATATATATANAGATTGAGCCAATTTTTGTTTTCCTATATATTGGGTGTATCAGATGATATTTTTAACCAAGTTTGGATTTATTTGCTTTGTTAGTTTTTTTTTTATTGAAAAGAAAATCCATTTGCCTCTTCAATTGTTTTCATCAGTGTGTATATAAATATGCTTGTACACATTATTATTTCTTCATTTAATGCAGAAATTTGTTTCAACTTTTTAGAAAGGTAACACGTGTCTGTTTTACGCTGTGAAAAATAACCATTCCCTTTTGTGTGATGTTCTATTGCAATGTGGTGCAAACATGTGGGCCAACACAGAAGTAAGTATATATATTATTAATTTTTCTGCATACTAGCCTAACTAGGCAACCAACTTTTTAAATAAGTAGAATTTCAAGTATTTTAAACAGAACAAGTATTATTGTACTGAAAAAATTAATGCGATATGTAAAAAAAAACAACCTCATATTGCTCAAGTAAGATAGAATTTGATTTTAGTGACATACATTTTCAAATGGTATAAAGGGCGAATTTCTCTTTACAATGCTTAGTACAACATATGTTAAGATTAAAAAATATATATATACTAATTACCTTGATGGTACTTTTGATGGATAGTAATCAGATTGGATAGAATTTTTATAGAAATTAAATCAAACTCTGCACTTACTTGCTATTATTATTTAAACCAGCCAATGAATTTATATTGTAATAGTTTTGTTTTTTCTTTCTCCAAAACGAACTTTGACTGTGATAAATTTCTTTAAGTTAAAAGGATACATAGATTTAAAACAGTAAACAATACATTTCAAAGCAAAAAAATTTAACTTAAAAAAAGTAATTTAGCTTAATAGCACTGTTTTGAAACTCAAAAACTGCATAACCAATAACCAAATAAAGGAGTATTTACGTTTATAAGTTCAAATCTGTCTTTATATTTATTTCACATGTTTTATCTGATATAAATAGGTATAATATATATAATATTTCACATGTTTAATTTCACATGTTAGTTATTTCGCATGTTAAAGAAGTTAAAATCATGCTGTTTCAAATTTTCATGAGATGTTTTTTTTTTTTTATTTTTTTTTTGTTATACAAAAGAGAATTGTATGCCAGTTAGTTCTATTTATTAGAGAGTATTTTCAATCCAGGAATTTCTTTGTCAAATCAAGATACACTTACTCATCTACCTAAAACTATAGAAATTACATCAAAAATATTAAAACTCATGAATTATATGTTAAGTTCTCTGCTGAAAATAAATTTTAAAATGAAAGTTTAAGTAGTTAACATAAAAAATCAAAGTAAGTAGTATAAAGCCATTGACATAATTAGTTTCTATCTGCAATATAAAGTGCTCCTCATTTTTTATAAAAGAATTTAAAAAAAACTACTTACAAGTTCCAATAAAAATATTTGTAGTGATTTTGTTAATTGTTATATTTGTCAATTGCATTATGATTTATTTTATCTTATATCTTTAATTAATATATCATTTTATTGAAATCAAATTTTATTGTATGTAATATGCATTTAGTAAAATTTACTGAAAGTAATTTCACTTTTTCTAATGTACACTTTTTTTTTTATTGCAGTTTAATATTTCCATTCTTGATTATGTACTACAAACATCTTCAACTAACATTAAAGATATTTTTGATAAATTTTATGTGAGTCATATTTTAGTTTATTCTTCAAAATGTTTACTAATTTGTGTAAGTTGATTGCTATTTTAGCTATGAAACTCATTGTTTACGTATTTATTACTACTTTTTTTCCCCTTGTTTATCATTAAATAACAAGGCTGCTTTCCCTAAGCAAATTTTCTATAAGCCTCCCTCTACAAAATATAGAGTATCGTTGCAGTTTTCAAAATTTTCTAAGTTGGGACTCTCTTGTTTTCGGTTTAATTCTTAATTTTGTACAATTATAATTTTTGCATTTTATATAAGGTCGGTTTTTCAACAACGGTTATAATGTGAGGTTTATCGTCACTCAAAATTAAAATCATGAGAAAGGGCTAAAATTAGTATCTAGAACATCTCAAAGTTTTTGATTAAATAAAACTACCATGGGAAATCTCCATCGGCAAATAGTAACTTAAATATGGTTTCAAATAAACAATTAGGTTAAAATATTAGAATGTCACCCCCATCATAGGACTAACTTGAAAATGCCAATAACTTTTGGGCTCATTAACTAAAACTTGATCTTTTTATCACGAAAAAAAATAATAATGATATAAAAGCAGCCCAGTGCCGGATTATGCGTACGCGGGGCCCTCGGCCATTCAAATTTTTGGGACCCTTAGATTACATTTTTTTCCTCGTATATTTTTTATTTATTCAAATATAAAAGTATTTATGTATCTTTTCATTCAAGAAAGCATAAAAATAAGTAATAATAAATTAAATTTTACTTTATTTTGTTAAATTAAAACTAAAAAATAATCATAAAATTTTGAAAAAAATTTAAATTTATGAACACTTTACAAAATCAACGCTACTATAAAATTGGTATTCAAAAATCTTTTTTTTCTGCTCTTGTGATCAATAAACTCATCTATAATGTTATCAAAATTAATTTCCCGGAGAACATCTTAATTTTTTAAAATTTATTTTCAAAAAATCCATTTTTAGAAGGCCCCTAATCATTGGAGGCCCCAGGCCATGGCCTAGTCTGGCCTAATGGGTAATCCGGCATTGAAGCAGCCGAATGAAGGGGTTAGGAGAGCAATCAACGTGAGTCTACTCTTTTAGGCGCATACCAAAAATAAACCATGTATAAACTTAGTAAGTCTCTCTCTCCACCAATTCAAAAATCAATTTAAGCACTAATGTTTTAATGCTAAGTTGGTTTATGTAATTGTCAATGATAATGCTAAAATGGTTTAATTGTAAATAAAATATTATTTGTTTAAATTTAAGTCGAGTAAATTTCCTTTATTTAATTTAATTACAATAACTATATGATGTGGCCTAAAAGCGTCACAATGAAATATACAGCACACTCTAACTTTCTTTCTCTAGCCTGGTGTTTGGAAAGCTGTTGAGTGGGAAAACATTTATCAAGTTAGAAAATTAGTCAATTTATGGTGCAGAACTGATCTCTATCAAGTGAGTGTACTATGCAATCTGTTTTATTGTAATTCAAATGAACCTTATCACATTTAATTCAATACCATCACTTTCTTAATGACAACTGTTTTACTTTAATATCCAAGTACTATGTGATTAATTATTAAAGAAATTTCAATAGACAGGTGTGTGAAGTGTTATTAGCTTATGCATCTCTATTTGGTAAAAAAAATAAATTTTAAATGCTTTTTATATGAAACTGATGTATTGTTCACAGTAGTCTAGGAAATAATGATTTTACTAAACAATAGTTCATATTAACCACGCTCGGATAATTTTTTTATGGATCTGCTCTGTTTTGACCATCAAATTTAGTTTCCCGGTTGGCTGTTCTAAACCTAACCATTTTTTAAAAAATAAAAATGCCAATTCTGCTTCCACTTTTTTTTTTTTTTTTTAAAGAAAGAAAAAAACTTTTGAATTATTTTTTTTTATATAAATACTTTCTGTTTATGTATAATTAAATGAAAAAACAGTTCATTTTCCCTTAATTATTATTATTTTTTTAATCTTGAGTTTAATTGCTAATGTGGGTCTGTGTTATTGTGTTAAACATATGTGATAGGTAATTTTTAAATGTTTACGTGTTGTTGCTATTCTACAAAAATATATTTATAAAACAAATTAATGTGAGTAAATTTGAAATTAAGTCATAATGTCTGTAGAAATTCTTTAATTAACACAAACCATTACCAACTCCATTACCTGATTGTTTTTGAAATTGCTTAAAAAATGTAACAAGTTGCAATCAAAAGTTTTTCTGCTTTTTAATCTCGTTAAACACTTCATTATTCTAGCTGCAAATAAAAATAAAAATGGAACTGAGGTCATTTTCTAAATTTCGTTTTATTTTTATGTTTTTTTTAAATTATGTTATCAGTGTAAACCAGTTTTTATTTTATGTATGCAGTATGTTTTCATTAATGATTTATAAAAAGAAGATTCAAAATTTATTTAAAAAATTAACAATGTATATTATTTTAATTAATGCTACATTATTTATGCACATTTTTATGCTTTAAAGCTTTATTGCATAAAAATCAATGTCACAATAGATTATTCACTATTAATTATTTAATCATTAATGCAAAAACAGCATTTACTTTACTATTTTAGCATAAATTTAATGCAGCCCATTTGACATCTTAGTACTTTTCATCATTCCAATATCATCAAATATTTTTTAATTGAAAAAGTATTACCTTTTTCATTCTCCTATAAATTTAAAGTAAGTATTTATTCAACTCGGAAAAAAAATTTATTAAGTAAAACTATACAAATGTTGTAATTTGAATACTGCTAATTAATGACAATACGTAAATATTACTAAAGACTGATATTCTCATGTACACTGACAACTTATTATTTTACATACATTACTATTATTGCATTTTAATGTAAAATGTATAGTTAAATGTTAAGTTGAAATGTAATGTAGTGTATAAGCATATTCAAAATCTTCAGTTACTCTTTTTCAATTCCTACTGCTAGTTCACACTCCCCCAATATCCTGTTCAAATTTTCAATCGTTAATAAAATACTTTTTATTCATACACTCAAGTTCAAATACATTTTTTTAAAAATGTAGTGGATGATGTTAATACAGTTTTTCCAAATATTAATTCATTCATTAAATAGGGATGAGCGAAAAACGAAATGGAATTTACTGATTGTTTAAGGATTAATTATTGTTTTACATTTTACTATAAGCGATTCAGTTTTTCACATATTTAAAAAATAACATAGTGATAAATTCAAACTTACAGCTCTATTTGAGTATAAAAATAGTTTATTGAGCACCTTTAAATATTTAATTATTTTATATTCGTTGTGTCGGATAAATTCAATAAAAAACATTATGTGGTAGCACGTGTGGTCCACATCACCTAATTTATACTTTTATAGTAGTCTGATACCACATGCCTTTGTTTTTTCACTTTCTACTATTAGTTCACACTCTCCCTATATATATTTATATATCTTGTTCAAATTTTAAATCGTTAAAAAAATACTTTTTATTCATCCATTCAATTTCAAATGCATTTTTTTAAACTTGTAGTGAATGATACTTGATGTTAATGGAGTTTTTTCAAATATTAATTCATTAATTAATTTGAAACTTGATTTAAACAACAAAAAAAATAGCTATAATAAATATAAAATAGCAGTAATTACATTTTAAGTAAGTAAAATTTTAGTATGCTTAGTCGTCAATTGAATGCCTCCGTCAGGTAAATGACTGGGAGTACATTTGCCCCCTCTCTCCACGCCACTGATATGAACACTGGTTTGCACGCCACTGGTGTATTCTTAAGATTCTAAATTATTTTTTTTTCTGTAATTATACTGGATAGAATGCTGATATGAAATTTTGTCATTCGACCCTTTAATTTCCAAAGTATAAAAAAATTATCAAAAATTTGCAGAATTATCTAATCTCATTCAATAATGTCTATTTTATTCTTTAACAAATATTTGTTAATATTCAATGTTATTTTTTAATTGTATGAAATACTTTGTTGTATTGGTAGTAGAAAATGTTAATGAATCAATAAAAAATTATGAAAGGATTAATTGCAAAATAAATCGAAAGGTGAGAATTGAGGAATGGCATCTTCGAACAAAATGCATATCAGGAACTAAATAGTTCCGTATATGATGTTTGAATAATCGTGTATTGTCATCTAACAATGAAAAACAAGTCATATAACAGGGACAGGCAATGGGGTATAATTTGTCTACTGTAACAACTCCCCCCACCACAAAGTCTGAGGTCGTCTGCTGCTGTGGATACTAGAATAGCACATTTCAGGAAGGGTAACTTATCTTCACTTCAAGGCTAACACAATAGACTGAAGAAAAATATTCCCTTTTTTTGTCGACCCCACACCCCTACTTGAAATAATTATGCCTTGTTACCATAGTAACTGCCACGGGTCCAGACGAATGGCTAGGGGAGCTCTTACTTTAGACAAACTGTATTTGATTATATTTCAATGTTATATGGAAATAATATTTGTGAGTCTTAGAAGTCCAAACGGTTAAAATTATAATAATTAAGATGATGTAAAATATCTGCATCTTACAATTTAAATTTTTTTATTATTAAATTAAATAATAATGAATAAAATATTGCTTTTTCATATAGTTTTATTTAAAAATTTCATTTCAAAAAAAAATTTACTAGAAAATTTATCGTTTAATTAAGGTGCAATGTAAAATACTAACATTTTCACTTTATTTCATGTTAGTAAAAAAGTAAAAAATTATTAGCATGCGTTCGTTCTTTTAATATAATTTATCATATTGATTTTTTTTTGCTAATTTTTTAATCTATGCATATTTTTATAGGATGGTGTTTCATTAAAAAATATAGCTCTGAAAACTGGCCATGAAGAAATCATTTCCTTGATTCTGGGAATTTTTGAAACAATGGTCAGTGCACCTTTAGCTTTAAATTTTTTTTCTTCTTTGTTTTGGAGTTTGTAGTCATATGTGAAAATAAATCTTTTTTTATTTATAAAATATTCAATTCTGTGCCACTTTCTATTTTTAAATAAATTTTAAAATTTAAAAAAATCAAATATAATTACATAGTTGAATTAAATACACAGAGAATAAATAAATAAAATGTATGCAGTCTGAATAAATATAATTATATACAATGATATTAAAGTATGTCTTATGAATATTTAATATATCTTTTCAGAAAATAATTCATCATATACTTGCCCAGAATATTAAAGCTGTCAGTGAACTATTGGAAAAATGCCATAACAAAATTCGGCTTGATCTTCGAAAAATGGTAGTCTTTTATTTATTTTCTTGCGTAACTTTGCTTTATTATTTTAAAATTTATCTGAATAAATTGTACTTTATTACATTTTATTTCAGATCAAGTATAAAACATCTATTAAAGCAAGTAGTAGTGATTTTTGTTGTTGTTGAAGCTTTTGTAACTTTTTTATAATTGTGTGTTTAAATGGTCATTTTACAAGCTCACAAATGGATATTTTTCATTGTGACAACAATCGAACTAAATAGTCATCATCATAGTTGGCCAGACAGCCCAATGTGGGCCAATGTCTTCCTCTGAATATTTCTCCATAATGACTTAATATTTATCTTTGATCTCAAATTTTTTTATTAATTGCTAAAAAATCAGACTCCACCGAATCAGCCCATCTCAACCGTGGTTTTCCCAGCTTTCTTGTTCCAGTGCATCTAAAAAGTAATATCTTTTTATTGTATTGTCATCACTCATTCGAATCACAAACTAAATATTACTTTTTCCCTAAAATAAGTTCAATCTATTTCTTCACTTCATGGTGAATTTGAAGAATTCATACATTCATAACAAAAAATTAGAAACAAATTACTGTTTATCCAGGTGTTTTAAGTCTACTTTTCAAACCCCCAAAATTTTACCAAAATCAGTGGGTCAACTTATCCACTGGTAATAAAGTTAGACTTTGGCTGATCATGAAATATCGATGCACAATAAGCAATGAGATAGATATCAATGTCTCTAGATCAATTCTCCCCTTACAAAAACTATTTTTAATACGGTATATGCAATTAATTTTGCGTTTTTTTTTTTTTTAAACAATGCTCTAAACTACGTTCAGAAAAATGTAGTGTGTCTACAATTACAAAGATACAATTCCAAGATATGATTGAGATACAATTCCAAGTATAAGATATGTTAACTCGATTCTATGTCGGCATACCTTTTCATAGATGAAGGTTGACATAGTCGATAACTACTATTCCCACATATAACGCAACAAAAACTTTGAAACATATCATAAAGCTGCAAATTTAAAAATTGCTGAACATCATATGTATCAGATTCAATAACGTTAACAGCATCATTATACGAATCTTCTTTATCTTCATCTGCAGAGTCCTATAAAAATGGTCCCCCCCCATCCAAAGAATTCGAAATTTCACGCTTTTTAAGAAATGTAACGACAAAATAGAAAATTTCATATATCGTTTTTTCAGCAGTCGTCTTAAATACCTGGATTAACTAACTAAATAAAAAAAATCACTTTTTTTAGTCTGGGTTTAATTTGTGTTGTAAATAAGCTTTCTTTTAGATTAAATTTCAGACATTTGTTAATTTGTTAATTTATTTTTGTTAATTGTATTTGTATTTTTGTGCATTTTTTTAGATAAAAATTCGAACATCAGAAAATAAGTTGTTAAAAATTTAATATACTAATATTATTTATATTATACTATTATGTTATATAAAAAAAACTACTTTATTAATATTTTTCTTTTTTTTAAAAAATAATTGAATTGCATGGATAACATTTATATTTTCTTATAAATGGGTCCAAATAAATTTGCTTTATGAAAAATTAAACATCAAATACTTAATACATTCAAAGTCCTAGATAACACAATTCTAGAAACAACAACTCTCCAAATTGAGATCGAAATTTGTAAATATGCTGGTTTTTAGCTTTAATACTCTTTGCAAAATAAATTTTTTTCTGTAAGTAATAAATGCTTAAGTGTATATTTTTTGTGTTTTAAAATTTCTGCATTTAAATTTTTTTTAAAAGCAATAATATTGATCTGATATATATTGCCATGTTTAGTTGGTAAATTTAATAATATGTGAATTTATATAGCACAAAATTCTATATAATGCCTCTTGTCACGAAGTTTGTATTATCTTCAACTTTTTTGAGTAAGCATTATTGTTGCTGAAAAATATTAAATAAGAGCATTTTTTTTGACAGAGTGATAGAGGGGCACCTATTCTTTATTACCTCATCAAGTCTGGAGATGTGGGTGCTATTGAGCTTTTCATAAAATATGGGTGCCATCTTTATACTATCATGCAGGATGACATAGGTGTAAGTTTTATTATGCTTTCATAATCTCATTTGCCTAATACATTCCGGTTGTACATTTGTGCAAAAACTTTATTGTTTCCAGATTTTCATTTTATTCTAATTCCAGACCATAGATATATTATGCACAAATATAATAAGACTAGTTGCCTTTGGCGACAAGCTTGGTCACCTTTCAAAGTTATCTAGTGTGTAGTGTTTTTAAAAAGTATTTAAAGGAGCTTATTTTTGATTTTCACTTTTTAATAATACTTAAAGGTACTTTTTTTATGGAGTGTTTTATAAAAGTGTTTAATTCCCCCTTTTCGAAAATAAGATTTTTTTACTTGCCGTGTCGATTTTCGCTGCTTATTATGCAAAAGGGTGGTTTTTACTTTGTTCTATTCAACATTTTCACAATTCATTCACCTACAATCCATTTCAGCTTACTGTCGGTTCATAATGTGTGATAACACCAATCAGATTGCATGTTTGATGAAATACCTGTGGGTCCCCATGTGCGTCTACTGAGCTGGGTTTGGTGAGATTATTGCACTCTCATGTGCAACTCTGCTGCATTTTGCAATTTCAGGCTTAATTTTCCACCCTCTGAAATCGAACCTAAAACTCTCTCGATCTTTTTATTGTGGCTATGGCTAACATAATCATGAAAAGAGTTCTTTGTCGGAAACTAGTTATTTTATCGTGACCATGTAAAGTCTTTGAAAATTATTTTCCATTTTGTTAATGTATATAGTACTTAAAAATATTTTTTGAGTGCTTAAAAAGTACTTAAAAGATGCTTATTTTTTGTTGAGAGATTTGGCTACCCACCCTGTAATACAACATCTAAACATAAGCAAGCGAAATGCACATGCACAACTGTATTTAAATATTCTAATTTTGTAACCCTTCCTCCTATCCTAACACCTTAATTAATTTTTAAACCAAATTTTTTCACTTTATTTCAGTTTTTGCCAGCTGCTTTGCCTGTGCAGAAGTACTTTGATTTCAATTTTAACTATTTTCAAGAAATGGCAGATTTATAATGAATGAATTGTGCCTTTAATGATAGAAAGAAAAAATTTGATAGACATAGTAATTTTAATTTTTGATGGCGAGTCATCTTAGATGCAATACAGTCTGTAATTATGACACGTTCAAAATAACCGCTTCTGAAAATCATAAAAAAGAAATATTTTTTGATGATTTTGAAGGTTATATTTTAAAAGAAATGACTGCATTCGATATTTTGTGCATGTATAATTTGTCCCTGTTTAACAACCGTTATAAAATAAAATTTAAAAAATCAGAAGAGGCATTATTTCATTGTTTTTTATGATGGCTCAAGCGCCAGAGCATCAGACAAACCTACTTGGCTTAAGTTTCAATTCAAACAAGTCTCTCCTTGTGAGATAACATCTTATATTAATGGAAAAAATACGAAAATTATTATTTAAAAAAAAAATCAATCTTTATTTAAACTTTCCTATTTTCCAATTTGCACATAAATTGAGTGTTTCTCACTCGATACATTGATATTAACGAGGAAGACATCAATTTGAAAATAGTTGTTATATTTTGCATTATTCTTTATAAGTAAATTCTGAGATTTTTAAAATAAAATTTTTAATTTGTTTAAAATGCAGAACTAATAAATGTAGCATATTTTGCTTCATTTATCTAACTGTGGTTGATAAATGCAAAAATAATTTCAATAAATTTTTAACTATTTAAAAACGTTGTTTCTAAAGAGACACACAAAAAAAATATAAAATTTATCTTGTTCTAAAATTCTATCTTGCAAATAATCTCAAGGAAAGAGGACAGGAACAATTGTCGGAACTGTTAAGGGCCCAGTTAAAATTTCTCACAATAAATAACATTCTCTTTGATGTATTTATAAATGTTACTCTACTTTAGTAAAAGAATTCTTTACAATTAGCACAATTTAGTGCATTAATTTATATCAATTTAGCACAGATTAATTTATAAATATTAATTGGAAATTTTCTCTTTAGCATATTTATGAAATGCTATTTCAAAATTTATCGGTTAACCATTGTTTTTTAAAAGTCTTATTTAAAAAGCTTTCAAAATATAGCATTAAATTTTTTTGTTGTTGTTTTGTTTGAGTTTTAAGCAAGGAATGAATTTTGTCCTTGGTCTCATAAAATTTGTGTCTAGCATTGCATAATATCAAAATTAATGTTAATAGTGTCCCTCAGGGGATTGATTGTAAAGACACCCAACGCCCCCAGTAGAACAAGTCAAGCATCACTGGTTGCGATCAGTAAGCAGGTGGGTGACCACTTTGATCATCTTACGTAGGAACCAAGGATGCGCAGTATTAGTCCTCATTAAACTGTTCTACCGTAAAGCGCTCGACTTCGCACGCCCTGCAGAGGGGAGCCATCCCCTCTGCAGAGGATCAAAATTGCGGTGGCATGTTCTTGGATCATCCTCGAGGATGTTGCCGAGACCGTTGCCAATCACTCATTGTGCAGCTCTAGTGCGACGTAAATAAAGTTCCTACCTCCTTCCTAATGTTTATAGTGACATAGTTTATAGTATCATAGTTAATAATAACTGAAATTGAGCACTTAAGGCACACGAATTTATTTTAATGTTTACAAAAGCACTTTGTAATGAACAATTCTGAATGTCAATTATTGCTTATTTGTAGAATTTATATTTTTAGTTTGATATGCCAGTCCTGTTTTCAGCCTTAAAGCCGAGGATATCTCCGGAGGTTATAAGAGCTCTTCTTCCGCCAGATAAACCCTATCAGGAAGAAATGTTGTTCAAAATCCTGTACAGGGTAGGATCACTTTTTTCTTTGTTACTACTCAGGGTTGTCACTCCACAGGGAGAGCAGGGAAACCTGGAAAATACAGGGAATTTAAAAATCACCTAAAATAGCAGGGGAAAGGCAGGGAATTTTGAGTTTTTCTTCAGAAATTGGGAAAATGCAGGGAATGTTGTTTCTTATTTTTGTCTTTTAAAAAATGGTGACCACTCTAAGCGTAATCTATGGGATGTTTAAGGATATTTCAGTCATACTAAACTATTTCACAGGGTGCATATGATTTTTAAAAAAGTGTTTAAAGTTGCTTATTTTTAATTTACGTTTTTTAAAAGCCCTTAAATTTGCTTTTTTTTATTGGGTGTAAAAAGTGCTTAATTTTCCATCTTGCAAAATGAGATTTTTTTCTTTGGCGTGTCAATTGTCATCATAACTTATAAAAAAAGCTTGATTTTCATTGTTTTCTTTGCAATATTTATCAAAAACTAGTTAGAACTATGTAATGTCTCTGAAAATGTTTTTGCATTTTGTTGATTTTTATGTTTAGAAATTAAGAACTTTAAACAACAGTGGGAAATAATTTTTATTACTGCCTGTATCCTAATTATGGTTTTTTTTGGAAAGTGACTAAAAATATATATTGGGTGCTTAAGAAGTGCTTATTTTTTGTTGAAAAATCTGGCTTCACATCCTGTTTTATTTACTTATAGCATTATTTATGTATGTTCAGCTGTAGCCAGAAATTAAAACTAATATATATAGTTAGCCCAATATAGCTCACACAAGAGCACAGTAATTGTGTTTCCTCTTAATATATTGTGTAGAATTAAGGGAAAACATAGGAATTTTTTTTTCTCCATATTTGAGAGACAATTTTGCTATTTCAGATGGTATTGTTCTTATTTTTTTACAAGACGACTTTAATTCTGCCTCAAAACAAATTATACAATAAAGGTACATACTTCATAAATTATTACTTTGGAGGATGTTTTCATATCGATATCTGTTCATGCCAGCTACTATCACTTAGAGCAGGGATGGTGAACCAATGGCACGCTACACAATATTTTGGGCACTCCACCGATCACAATTATTGTTTAGCTATGAAGCATATGTAACAATTAAATTAAAATTCATAAAAAATAAACAAAATAATAAACAATATTAATAAAAAAATTAAAAAATAATGCGAAAAAAACCAATTAATAACCATAAAAAACAAGCTAACAATAAATAACTAGCAAAAAAAAATTAACAGTTCTGCTTAAACGAACATCTTACAACCTAATATAAGTTATTGGTCATCTAATCTGCAACTACAGAAGTCACATTAATGTTACTTGAAAGTTGAATTACGCGTATAACTGACATATTGCAAAATGTATTTTTTCTCACTATAAATAAAGAGTTTTGAGTTGATAATATTTAGTATTATTTGCCCAATAATCACGAAGTCAAAATTATTTGACGGCACGTCTATGACCTCATTAAGCAATTTTTTTTTAAAGAAAATGGTACGTTGGTGTATAAAGGTTCGCCATCCCTGACCTAGAGGTTTTTTTTTTTCAAACTTGTTCTCCCCACCAACTTTTCAAGCTGGTCCTTTCTGAGATATTTCTTTTTTTTTAGTTCTCTCGTGCTACTGCCCGGTTGTCTTATCAATCAAATTTTTTGGCATATGTACCGATTAAGAAATATACACCTGCTTAATTTAAATCAAGATGATTTTTTATTAATTTGTAAGTCTTTTTTTTCCTTCAAATAAACATTGCAAATAATTTTTCAACTAAGCACATTTTTTGGCACATGTGAAATCTTCCCCTGCTTAATTTATATAGATATGATTTTTTTTATTAATTTTTAATTTTTTTTACTAATAAACATTATATGAATAAACGTAGCTTTAATTATCATTACAGGGTAAAACCGTTCTAGAAATTGCATTGATGGAAAAGGTTGGGGATGAAGTGTTCAAAATACTCATTGATAGAGGAGGACCTCTGCTACTTTGTGAAAGGAATCAGGTATGCTATATATATACAGTCAGACCTTGATATAAGGTCACCCTAAGGGACATCGCAAAAGTGACCTTAGAAGCGGGGTGATTTTTTAACCGATTCATAACAATTCGTAAATAAACACGTAAATAGTACATATTAAGACTTTTTAAAAATTTTAATACAAACCAAAACGATCAGTCATAAATTAAATGTTAAAGTCAATAAATTTTAACAGAATTAATAAAGAATTAAAGAAATTTAGATTTTTAAAAAAATTTAATTTACAATAAAGCTGTTTACAAATTTCCTCAAAGTGCACATACATACATTACATCTTACCTTATTTAAAATAATCATTTATGCAAGTCTGTCTCGTTTTTGGTTTCATTTTTTGAACAATATTTTCTAGATTTTGTAACTTCTTAAAATGTTACTCAGCTCCGTCATGATTTGTAAAAAAATTTCGTATCACATTTATTGCATTGGAGGCTTCCACATGGGTTACAGCTACAGTCTCAGGATCGCTGTCATTGTCCTCACTGTCCACAACTTGTAAAAAAATTTCAGAAATTGTAGCTTGTTCGTTGACTGCAACATTTTCCTAGAACTTGAGAGGGGTAATTGCCTTGTAAGGAAGTTAAATAGGCTTTTGTTTGAAAAGAGCTTCCCTCGCCGGAGATAAAAATGACCTTATAAGCGATAAGCATTTTTAAAACTTGACCATATATCTGATATTTTGTAACAAGGAATTCCTATTCAGATAGCCGGGACTTTGGAAAAGTGACCTTATATCGAGGTCTGACTGTATGTGTATATAATAGATTTTCCTTGGCTATGTTAAAAGGATTGAAAATTGATATTTTCCTTAGGTAATTATGAAAGCAATAGCATTTACGCCGAGGGGCTACTGGCAGAGCAGGAGAAATAGATATGACCTTTTCGTGACAGTAGTTGGCGTGATTTGGGTTGCTACTCATTTCATGCTAATGGTAAAAAAAATTTCATTATTTTTATTTAAATTGGTAAATGTTTCAAGTTTGTTTATGTTGTTTCAGTGCGTTATATGTTTTTATTTAATACTCATACCTAGTATCTGATTTCTGTTTGAGCTTTTTTTTTAGCAATGGTTAAAATTACTTTTAATTTGTATAAAAATTAAAATAATCATAAACAACCACAAAAATTTTTAAAAAAAATCAAATTTTTAATATTCTTTTCTTATGTTTTTCTTCTAGGTAAAAACAACAACTTTAATTTTTAAAAAAAAACCTCATAANTCATGAAAAAAATTTAGATGGTGGAAAAAAGTTGAGAAAAGCAGATCACAAGTATGTTGAAGAAACATTGCTGAAGTGGTTCACCAATCGAAGAAGCCGCAATCTTCCAGTATCTGGCAAATGTCGATGAATTTGCTAATCGATTTTATGAGACTACTTTTATGTGCTCGAATGGCAGGTTAGATAGGTTTAAAAAGCGGAATAACAGAAATTCAGGAAAAATTATCTGAGAGTCGGGAAGTGTTTCCATATCTGATGGTGAGGATTGCTCATCAGCTAAAGATTACTAATTTTTTTGTACTCAAGATGAAGAGTAATGAAAAATAACACATTTTTTGCATCTACATATTATTTTTCAGTCATTTATTTGAATAATGTGTAATAAAAGGGAGGAGTTAAGGAACCATTAGTTAAATTTAAATTGCCTGCGTAACGGATATAGTGAACTCCCGGTTATAGTGAACCGACACTTCGGTCCCTTGAAGTTTCACTATAGCGGGGTTTGACTGTATATTCTTTTTGTGTAAGTAGTCTAATTGAATTTTTTAACTTTTAGATGAATCAAACTATTCGTGACTTGGCTTTACTCTTTGGTGATACAAGAATCCTTGATGCCATTGATGAGGTTAAGTATTAAATTCGTAATTTATTAGAAATTTTCTTTTATGCAAATTACTTTTGCTTAACTGTCACTGTAGTCACAGTTAGTTGTAAATATTAACGTTCTGCATCTAATTATGTTGTTTACATTTATATTATTCAAACAAATATGTAATATACACTTCATTATAAAAAATAAAAAAACAGTACCTAAATCTGAAATGAATCAATCATACCCAACTTAAATATGATTATTTAATTTTGTAGAAAGTTTTTTTTTAAGTACATTGTGGTTATGATTTAAGTTATCTTGCTTAGACAGGGGTCTGTTTAGAAGAAATTTGGGTCCGTTAACGGACCCTTCACAAAATATCTTTTCATAAAAACGGACCCTTCGCAAAATGATTNCACCTAAAAATTACTAATTTAATTTATCTCATTCTTTTGCCAAAATTTACACATTTGAGAAAAGCAATTTTAAAAAAAAAAAAAAAATGTCAATTCTGACAAGTTGCTACTTTGTAACAAAATTTTTGCATAAAAATTACTATTTATACATTAAAGTGCAAGTCATTAACTTTAAAACGCGCTAAAGTAAATGACTTTACGATTTTTTTTTGACTGAGTTATGAGATTTTGAAAATTTTTTGTCATTTATAGTGAAAACGAAATTATTGTGAATTCGAAAATTATTTAGTATTTATTCTTCAGCCTAAAGACATCAACCTATTGACCATTTTCTGTTGAAAATTTGCTAGCTATTAATCATTTATTTGTTACGTAAGTTTCGCATAAGTTTATATTTATCACAGTTGAGAAAAGTTTAACCTTTGTATAAAAATAGGTGGGAAAATAAAGTTAAATTTCTTAAAAATTTCTTGAGTCGTCTTTTAAAATTGTTATTGCAAATTTACAAATAATGTTCTTGTTTGCAATAATGATTTAAATAAAAAACTTAATTAATCCAAATAAGAAAGTTGCAAAAAAATAATACTAAATAATTTTCGAATTCGCAATAGTTTCGTTTTCACTATAAATGACAAAAAATTTTCAAAATCTCATATCTCGGTCAAAAAAAAAAATCGTAAAGTCATTCACTTTAGCGCGTTTTAAAGTTAATGACTTGTACTTTAATGTGTAAATAGTAATTTTTATGCAAAAAATTTTGTTACAAAGTAGCAACTTGTCAGATTTGACATTTTTTTAAAAAAACAAATTGGTTTGTTCAAATGCGAAATTTTTTTGCAAAAAATTTATATAAATTAAATCAATAATTTTTAGGTGAAAGTAGAAGACCTGAACATGATATCCTGAAATTTTTATGAAAATTGATTCATTTTTGAAAAAGTTATGACACTTTGAAAAATGACAATTTTTTGGAAATTTTAAGTGTCCCTAATAATTTGGAAGGGTACTGTATATTATTCAAACAAATATGTAATATACACTTCATTATAAGAAATGAAAAAAAAACAGTACCTAAATCTGAAATGAATCAATCATACCTAACTTAAATATGATTATTTAATTTTGTAGAAAGTTTTTTTTTAAGTACATTGCGGTTATGATTTAAGTTATCTTGCTTAGAACCAACATAGAATTTTTTCTGTTTAACTAATATTGATGAAATATAGTACACAAATTATATATGTATCAGCAGTTCCCTATTTTTATGGAGTCCTAAATGGTCAATTTCTTTTGGACAAAATCTTGACTTTATAAAATAAATTCATTAGCAATAAACATATTTAGGCAATTACAGATGGACCTCTATTTAACGAAGTCTCTAATTCCCGATAATAAGTTCGTTATATGGAAAATTGGTTAAATAGAAAATCACCATTTGAAATACTTAAACAAAACAAAATAGGTTTTAAATTCATAAACACCAGACATAATTAAAATAGCAATTGATGGACCTTTATCTTGTAAACTAGTATCTAATATTTATTTTATGAATCTTAACCATGAAAGAAATCTGCTTGGAAAGCAAGAATAGAGCAAAACATTATCAAGTGTTACATTACCATGCTACATACATTTTCAACTAAAAAAAGCTAAATTTATGTATAAAATTATAGCTACATTTATTATTAAAAGTAATTTTAAACATACATTACCACATGCGTTCTTAAGTTTAATTGCTACTGAATAAATCCATTAATTTTATCTGAGTTTTTTTCATTTGAAATGCAAACAAAAAGGGGAAGGGATTTTACTGCTTTCTCTAAAAGTAAGTGGCTTCGAAAATCAATTTTCCCCATAAAATGCGTTAACAAGTTTTAAATGTTTGGAAATATTTCGGAAAATAGGAAAAGTTGATCTCAGAGAAAAGTTCGTAAAATAGAAAATTCACTTCATTATTTGGAAGTAATTTTACGTCGAAATTTCCAAAAAATTCTTGGTTCTTCGAAGAAAAAAAAATTTAAAATAGAGAAATACGCAAAATAGAAGTTCGACTGTATTTCGAAAAGTATTTAATGGAAAGAATAAAAAATTTTCAAAATACTCTGAAATTTTTTAAATAGCATTAAAAAATAATAAGCTGATATTAATATTACAATAAACTGAATTAAAATTTTGTGGAAGTGAAGATGTAAATGAACTTAAAAATACCGAGAATGATTATCGGGGAAATATTTTTTTGCATTAGTTATTTTATTGTAAATTGAAAAGCTCAATGCTCATATTATTTTTTTAAAAAACATTTAACGCAAAGAAGATGTGTTGAAAATGTCTTAAAAAATTATATTCATCTAAAGAAAAAAATATCAACACGAATTTTTTCTCTTATATTTTTTCACTCATGTTGAAATAACGGGTGCCATATTATATATATTTTTAAAACATAAAAGGTATTAAAATTCTTGTATTATTTTAAAACAATTGATGGAGATGTGAATTGTAACATATGTAGGTAAATAAAATGTAAAAAAAATCGCCACATATTTCAGGACCACAAAGTATAAAAACTGTGCTGTATGTGGAAGGTTAAAAAATAATAGTATTAAAAATATGAATATATTTTTTTACAATATTATTGTATCGCTTATTTGCAACTAAATAGTACATTTATTTTTTAATGCGAAAAAAATTAATTTTCAATTAACTTGTGCAATGCAGGTTGTTATGTGTTGGATTGTAGAGCCCGAAAGATACCATGAAAGAAGAAAAAAACTGGCCTTGTATGGTTGGGACTTAGAGACTGTTAAAGTAAGTAACTTATAGTTATTTATGCGACAAGTGGCCCATTAAATTGCACCAAATTTAGTGAGATTTAACTTTAAAGTTCAATACTAGTTTGTAAAATTTATGACTTAGTTTTTTGGACCAAAAAATGCAATGATAAATAAATTAATGTTAATAAGTTTCATAGTTGTCTTGATAATCTGAATTTCTATGATTGAAAATATTCTTTCCTTAATTGTCCTGGTTTTTTACATTTTGTCCTGTTATTGCCGATTTCTTGTATATTCAGAACATACCATTTACGTGAATGTGCAATTTTAAGAGAATTGTTCGTATTTTTAAAAAGTAAAAAGTAAAGTAAGAAAATTGAGACTTCTCAATGTTAAGATTGGTATGTTCTATTCAAAAAGTGAAGTTGGAAAGGAGTTCCAAAGGAAAAGGAGTTAGCTCGAAAAAAATCTCTTTTCTTTATCTTCCCCTTGTCTTTAGAAAAACAAATTATTTATGAATCAGTGTTGGAAGAAAGATTTTCTGAATAACTCTCCCGAGCCATGGTGGCTCAGGGGATAGAACGTTCGCCTTCCAAGGTGGTGAACCTAGTTCGAATCCCAGAGATGGCTGGTTGATGTGAATTCCAAGTCTCTACCCAGTCTTTTCTAGTCTTTTTACCAGCTCACTGGTAACTACAGATATTAAAAACTGTTACTTTTCTTCTTCTTTTAGTCTGGGGCCATAAGATCTTCAGTTTAACTCATTATCTTAGCCCATTAGCAAATCTAACTTCTTACCAGCTTGCCCATATTACCTATTTCCTCTCATCTGTCCCGCAGTGGACAGATCCTAAAAACACAGTTGCCAGTAGAACACAGAAATCAAGCATCATTGACTGCGGTCATTTAGTGCTAGGTGACCACTTTGATCAGCCTTCGTAGTGACGGAGGGTGCGCAGTATCCGTCCTCGTTAAACTGCCGCAAGATGTCAGGCTACCGAGGCAGGAGCGCCACCAGGAATACTTCTCAGACCATCCTTGCACTGACCACAGTGCTGACGTAAAATATTCTCAGTTGTAGACGGATTGTGGGTTAGAGTCCCCTTGTCATCACACTAACCAGAGAAGGTTTTAAAAACTTAACCCAATAATTAAGCATGAGATCACAAGAAAATGGAGCCACATACCTGGGTGAAGGTTGAAACTGGACTACATATTTTATTATAGAAAAGAGGTTATATTAAAGACAACACTGCTGCCATCTATGTCAGCATTTGTGATGCCATCTATTTACAACAATATAAACTAATTCTTTCAACACTCCCACTTTAGTTTACAATTTTTGGGAATACTAAAAGAAAATCACAAATGTGTACACAAAAAAAATATCACTAAATCATTTTAGTCTCATTGATCTTCCACAATGTTCATACTTAGTTCTATTAACAGTTTTTGTTAAATAGTCCACATTTATATTAATCATATTCACTCCCACTGTCCGAAGCAATCCTTCTCCTTTTTGGGCGTTTTTCTTCTTCACTTTGACTATTGTCAGATGTAATTCTCCTCTTGTTAATTCATTATCTGAAACAATTTTTCTGTTCTTGCTTGGCCTGTCTTCATCACTCTGTCTGCCATCACTTGCTCCTTTTCTTCTTTTAGATTTTGCATTACCACTGTCAGAATCTTCACTTCCACTATCAGAAGCAACTTTCCTCTTTCTAGGCCCACTGTCTTCATCACTTTGAGTAATATCCCTAGCACTTGCTTTCCTTTTTCTTTTAGACTTTTCTTTTCCACTGTCAGACTTCTCACTTGATGAAACAGTTGCTTTAAAAACGATTATACTCCTTTGCTTGGATTCCCTATCTTTCTTACGTTTTTGTCTTTTACCACCTTCTTCTCCTTCATCATCAAGTTTCATGATCATCTCGTGGCACACATTTTCTCTGTCAGAGCCTGAAGCCTTTTCTTCTTCATCTGATTGTTCTTTATTAGAATTTTCATCATCTGATTGTGCCTTATTGGAACCACCTTCATTGTCATATTGGGTTTGATTTAGGTTAATGGACCCTTCTGATCTATTACATTCTATTTTAATCCCTAAACAAGAATTTAAATCTTTCATTTCAAATCTTTTACTTAGTTGCCTTTTTGCTAAATTTTTAAGCCTTACTGAGTTGCTAAAAATTAATAAATAATCTGCATAAATATCTACAATTACAAGTTCTTTATCATTTAGTTTAATATACACACAACTATCAAAATAACTTTGCCTGAATCCCATTTCAACTAAGCCTTCATCTAATGTCAGATACCAAAGCCTGCCATTTTGCTTTAAGCCATCTAGAGCTTTATTAAGAAGTTTCCCATTTAAATTTTGTTCGTAATACTCACTAAACCCATCTGGAATTTTCATATATATTTCTTCATTTAGTGTCCCTTGAACAAAAGCCATAACAGCATCCATTTGATCGATTTCCCAATCATAAATAGCTGCATAAGCCAACAAAACTCTTAATGTTACATAATGAACTACTGAGGAAAACGTTTCTGTATAATCTATTCCTTCGATCTGGGAGAAACCTTTAGCTACTAAACGGGTTTTGTACCTTTCAATATCTCCATTAACATTATGTTTTCTTTTGAATACCCATTTGCAATCAACAATGTTTTTATTTTTAGGCTTATTTACTATGTCCCAAGTTTTGTTTTTAATGTGACCCGCTATTGTTTCACATAAAGATTCTCTCCAATGCCTAGCATTACTACCATTGAGTGCCTCATCAATAGTATTAGGTTCAGAAAGAAGTTCATTTATTGCCACTAAAGCATCGGCAAAGAAAATAGGATCTAAATTTGGCATTTGCAAATCTGGCATACCATTGGTATNAAAAAAAGAACAACAACATTTATTTAAGTGTTAGCATTTAAGCCTAACCATGTGTTAACACATGCTACCATAATTTATCTATCTTTAATTCTAAAAATTATCAAAGAATTTAAAAATAAATATATTAAACTTAATAAATGTTAGCTATAAATTTCTTGGATCATCCTGGGCCCATAACCTAAAAACTTAACCCAATAATTAAGCATGAGATCACAAGAAAATGGAGCCACATACCTGGGTGAAGGTTGAAACTGGACTACATATTTTATTATAGAAAAGAGGTTATATTAAAGACAACACTGCTGCCATCTATGTCAGCATTTGTGATGCCATCTATTTACAACAATATAAACTAATTCTTTCAACAGGTTTTCGTGGTTTTCCTTCTCCATATAGCACAAATGCAGGTTAGCTCCACCAAAAAATCCTCCACAGATGCAAAATTTCTCCCAACACTTGATTTATACTCGAACTTAAGAATACATGATTCTAACTATGCATTTAGTGAACTTTGTTGAATAAAATTCATTTGTTACTTTTGCTTAGGATCGTTGTTTGGAAAAAAGCACCGAAGACTACTTTGGCTACGTCAAAAATCTTCAGGTGAGCTATACTTTCCGTGCGTAAAGATTTTAGTTTTATTTTGGCTTTATAGTTATTTTTTTCTTCCTCTCGCAACAGAGTGGGATTAAGGCTCTCTCCATAGCAGTTGAAGCTGGTGATGTAGAGAAGTACTTGCAACTCAAAAACACTTTATCTGCTTTGGATGCGCCTGAACTGTTTCTTTGGCAAGCTAAAGTGGTGGTAAGCAAACTCATATTTGAAAATTAGGATATCAAGCTTATAATTCAAATCTCTTTGCAAGTCCTATCTTTTGTATAAGCTAAATAATAAGGATTGTTAGCTTATACTAAAGGTAGAGTTGAGGAAAAGTATTTATCACAAAAAGGAGGGCATTCAAATATCACATAAGCATACTGTTAACATGTAAGCTTACAGGATTCTCATGTAAGCTTTCAAGATACTCTCCTGTAAGTGCTTACTTGTTATTTATCAGTTAATTTTTATTTATTAATTAATAATTAATTAAATAATTTATTTATAGATTTAGAAATCAATATATTAATTATTATACATATTGATTAATTATTTTTTAATTGATTGTTTGATATTTATTGGTTGCGTGATATTACGTGGGTGTGATTTGCTCATCTTTGTTGACAAGGACAAAGATTGGTATGAATAGTGCTTACGTAAAGCATTGAAATCCCTTTATTTTCAAAATTGTCTTAAAAGGCAAATTAAAAAAATGGAACAAAAAAATTACATATGGAAAAATTTCGAATTTTAAATATAAGTTCAATTCCAAAAAAGAAAGAATTGGAAAGAAAAAAAAACAAGTCTTCGAGTTTCAAGAATCAAATGTTTGAAGCATAATACATAGCTACCAACTCTATAGTTAGTCTAAAGTCTCCCCTAGCCATTCGCCTGGACCCATGTTGCTGACTATGGTAACGAGGTATAACTATTTCAAGTAGGGGTGTGGGGTCACTATTTAGGATAGGTTTTGGTCGGCAAGAGAAAGGGAATCTTTTTCTTTAGTCTATTGTGTTAGCTCTAGAGCGAAGAAACGCTACTCTTCCTGAAAAACGCTCCTCTAGTTTTCACAGCAGCAGACGGCCTTAGACTTTATGGCGGGAGGAGTTCTTACCATAGACAAATTATACTCGATTTTCCAGTAGACGTCTGGATTTTGCCAGTTTGTCCTGGTCTACTGGTTTAATTAAAATTCTCCTGGTTTCTGTACATTTTAGAAAATTCCCTAAAATTGAGTAAGTTTATTGAAAAAAAAAACTATTGAAATAGAATTTTTCTGCAGATTATTGCTTGCTTGACTATTTAAATAAGTATTACAAATACATAATGAAGCGAACCTCATTTATAGAAATCGGTTCAAAACTTTTTTTGTTATAAAATGTTATTTTTATTCAAAACTCTCTATTTAAATTTAAAAAAATCTTTTAACTATCCTTGATGTATTAAATACCTATTAATATTCAAAATGCTGATTATGAGTATACATAATATTTCAAGTATGTATAATCAATTAATGTTAATATTTCAATTGTAACTGGAAAATATTTTCATAACTATAAAAATCCCTAAAATTCCCTATGTGTGAAATATTTAGTACATTTTGCAACAATTATCGTGAAATTTATATTATTTCGTAAAATCTATTTTTCCTATCCACGTTGGCAGCCATGATAATAGGAAAACAAAAGATTATACTGCTCAAAAATTTTTTTTTAAAGAAAGGATTAAATTATAAATGTTTGTTTTATGCAAAGTTAAGTAGTTTATTTGAATTTAATTCTAAAATTAGATTGCTATAATAAAAAGTTAAAGTAAATTCCAGTGGGAGAATGTTTGTGATCTACTTATTTTTACTGACAAGAGAGGAAGGGTGTCTTAAATTGCCGAAAACATAGTTACATAATATTTGAAAGACCTCTATGTTATAGAGAAGAGTCTATAATTTTGTAGGTATAGCAGTTTTTCTATAATATCAAGAAACTTTGATGCTGAACTTATTGTATTGAATTATTTTTATTTCATTAAAACATCCCTATAATGTAGCAATTTTTTTTCTTCTCCAGGGAGATGGAATGCCCCTTCTTCACAAAGCTGTTCTGCATAACAGATTTGAAATAGTAACAGATATTTTACTAGAAAAACCATGCGCTGAGTCTATTGATAATTTATTCGATCAGGTGAGCTTTATAATCAGTATTTATATTAATAACATTCGTTTTGAGGCCATGATCGGGCCCAACTTAGCCTAAATTGAGGTTCAGGGGAAAACTTCTTTGCCCCCCCCTCCCTCTGCTTCACTACTTCAGTAATGAGGAACCAAACTATGGAGGTATTTAAACTTTTTCACCGCAACATAAATATGTAATAAGAAAATTGATTAGAACCTAAAATAGCTATAAAGTCCCCCCCCCCAATCAATGCTCAAATGAAATATTGTTGTTCTGTCCATTTTATTGATTTTCTGACAATTCTTTGTCCATCATTAAAAAGATATCATCTAAAGAGCCAAAATTTGACAAAAATTCAATATTTTCGTTAAATTAACTGAATTATAGAAGTACAAAACAGTCAAGAATAGGATAATTGATTGTTAACTTTGTCATCTAGCTGCGAAAAATTCATATCCTTGCTGACGTTGGGGCGGAATTCAGCTAAATGTTTGCAGTTACAGTGGCTCAATTAAGCTAATCAGAAGCCTGTATTTTAGTAAACATAACGCATTTTGCAATTTGTAAAAATACAGGCTTTCGATTGGCCAAATTTGTCCATTGTAATTGCGAAAATTAGTTCTGCACTAGAAAGCCGTGGATTTACGGAATATAGATTTTTTGTGTTCATACGATAGATTAATGAAAAAGCTAACATGAAACTGACGAATTTCACACTGTGCTGATATTTTGTTTAAAAAAAGCTCATTAAAGAAGGAAAACTAAAATGAACTTTCTATTCGATTTGGGGGTTCCATTTTATGTGAGGCTCAGAGCAACGGCCCCGTATGCCCCGCCTTAGTCAGACTCTGGCCATGATATGCTGAATTGTGACAGTTGGCCATTTGCCCATAATCTCATATTTCTTTTGTTCTAAAAAAAAACATGCCATAAAAAACCAAGAAAAAAGAATTTTTGTTTTTGCTTTGAACATTTGAAAGCTTTGTTTACCATTTAGATCGCATAAATCAATACAATGTCCAAAATTTGTGATCTTTACGTTTTTATTCATAGAAATCAAAATTATAAAATCAGATAATATAATATGTTTAAACATTTTCACACGATGATCAGTTTAAAATTATGCAACAAATTGCTATTTATTCAAGTAATTAATCTCACTTCCTAAGGTACATGAGGCATTTGTAAATACATTTTTAAGGTCATATTAAAATCTAATTGCATCCATCTTTGTTACGATTAATATCATATAAGAATTATATGAATAACATAAACAACATGATATAAGAGATAATAGAGGGGAGAAACATAATAATCCCCTCTAAATGTTGACCTACACAGGAGTGATTGTGAGCCCAACTCAAAAATCCTGAAAATGTCTTGAGTAAAATCATTAATGACGCATTTCAAAAAATTAATGTGCTTATAAATTTAAATCATTGATATTTTCAAAATATGAAACTCTAAATAAATTATATGCAGCATAATTTAAATGAATAATTATGTATAAATTTACTTTATCTCTAATTGCATTTATTATTCTACCAGAAAAAAAATATTTCCAAATAAAAGAGATGCCAAGTTTAAATTCTAGTTCTCATATTTTTAAATAAAATATACTAGAATTTTAATACATAAATGTGATCGATGATTTCTTGTAACTTCTGGACCTTGGGTTTTCGGATCGCAGTTAGTGAAAAATCCAGAAATCCAGGGGTTTTTTTTCGGAGCACTATCATCTCTGCCTACATAAAGCAATGCATAACAAGTGGTAACGTTACACAATTTTCACTAAACGTGTTTCCTAATATATATATTTTCTCCTCGGGAAAAGACATATTTCTTCATTAATTTTAATCAAAATATGGACATTGTTTTGTAATAATTTTAATCAAAATATGGACAGTGTTCTGTATTAATTTTAATCAAAATATGGACACTGTTCTGTATTGATTTTAATCAAAATATGGACATTGTTCTGCGTTAATTTTAATCAAAATATAGACATTGATCTGTATTAATTTTAATTAAAATATAGACAGTGTTGTGTATTAGTTTTAATCAAAATATGGGCATTGTTCTGCATTAATTTTAATCAAAATATGGACATTGTTCTGTATTAATTTTAATCAAAATATGGATCTTGTTATATTATATGGTTGTATTAGTTTTAATCAAAATATGGGCATTGTTTTGTATTAATTTTAATCAAAATATGGACATTGTTCAGTATTATTTTCTATCAAAAGATATATTGGCTTGTGTTCATTTCAGAATCGTCGCACTGCCTTGCATTATGCTTATGCTAATTCAGAGTTGAGAGATATCAGAGCCTTACTCATGACTTATGGATGCTCTGAGCATGTTCTGGATAAAGTGAGCTTACATCTCTATCTTTACTAATCTTTTCAGTATTTATTTTTGAAACTTGTCTGACAAAGAGTTTCCTTTTTTAGGTAATGTTGCATATAAACCAGTATAAGAATTAATTATTTAGAGTATTTTGTTGAAAATATTATATAAATGAGTNTCTGTATTAACTTTAATCAAAATATGGCCATTGTTTTGTATTAATTTTCATCCAAATATGGACATTGTTATGTACAGGGTATCTGGTACATTTTAGATTTTGAAATCTATGACTAATTCCAAGAATTTTTCCTGGCTTGACGAAGTTATTATTTTCTCTGACAAAAACAAAACAATAAATTTAAAAAATCATTATACTTGAATTATAACCTACATTCATTGAAATAATAGGTATAACCAAAAACTATTATACTCTGAATCTTTATATTTATAGATTTTAAATTTAAAAAACAGAGTAAAAAAAGAGTTAAACAATAAAATAACTTAAAAAAATACAAAAGCAATTTTTTTTCCTTCTTTTTTTCTGCAGAATTATATTCTAAAGATACTTTACTCGTTCATCAGAAAGGAAAGAAACACTCCTGATTTTTCTGTTCTCATTTCAGAATAAAAAAAACTCGCCAATGACTGGCTTGCTTCAGCTAGAATTTTAAATGGATAAAATAAAAATGAAAAATACATAAAAAAATTCTGAAATCGCAGAAGATTGAAATTCGCTTTAGAAATGATGTTTTTTCTTTCATCTTTTGAAAAAACACCAATATTTTTAAAGAACATGATAAAAAAAAATTATTTTTCAATAAAATATGACTGTGAGTGGGGATTTTGTTACAAATTCAGATATTCGAAACACCATGAAATTGAGTTTAAAAACTAGATTTTTCGTTGACCTAAATCCATGACTTTCCTTGATGTTTTTTTTAAAAAAAAAAGTTAAAATCATGACATTTCTTGACTAATTTTGTTCAATATTCAATATCGAAATTCATGATTTTCCATGACTTTCCAGGTGCGCATACCCTGGTAATAGATACCCTGTATGTATTAATTTTAATCAAAATATGAACATTGTTCTGTATTATAATCATACAAAAGATATACCGACTTGTGTTCATTTCAGAATCGTCGCACTGCCTTGCACTATGCTTATGCTAATTCAGAGTTGAGAGATATCAGAGCCTTACTCATGACTTATGGATGCTCTGAGCATGTTCTGGATAAAGTGAGCTTACGTCTCTATCTTTACTAATCTTTTCAATATTTATTTTTGAAACTTGTCTCACAAGGGGTTTTCTTTTTTAGGTAATGTTGCTTATAAATCAGTATAAGAATTAATTATTTATAATATTTTGTTGAAAATTATATTTTTGTAATTAATGACTTTTAAAATATCCCAGCTTTTCATTGAGATTCATTTTAAAAGTTTATTAACCTTCTTAAAGAAGAAAACCATTTATTTGATAACAGAAAAGATAAAATAAAATTTCTTGATATTGCTTATTTGATTAAATATTAAAAATATTTCATCATGTTTATTAAAAAGGCCATATTTAAGGAAAAATGAGTGTAAAAATAAATTCTTTTATTTGCATGATGTGGAAAAAAATACCGGCAGATTTTATGCAACAATAAAAATTTTATGCCAATTATTGAAGAACACAAAAAAATATTTTAAAATTAATGAATCAAAACTGATGATAATGAAATGAAAAATAATGAAGGAAAATAAACTACACAAATAACTAAAAATTTGATAACTGGTGATAATGAAATAAAAAATAATGAAGGAAAATAAACTACACAAATAACTAAAAATTGTAAAATATACTGACTTTTTTTCATATTCATAATTTAAAAGAATAAAAATTATTAAATTTGCAATAAATATCTGTACCATATTTTTGAATAATGGATTCAAGATATTCTCATGATAAGAAAAATTTTGAACTAATTAAAAAAAAAAAGAATTCTTAAAAAAAAAGAAAAAACTGGATCCATGTAGCAGAGATAAGTATTAATTACGTAAAAATATCATTAAAATACCACAAGGTTAAGAGCATATAAACGTTTTGACCAAACGCTTTATTTTTGTTTTAAGTACTAGTCTCAAATCCGTTAAATAAACATTAACATTTTGATTATTTTTAAATAAAAATGACCATTTTTGCCCTTATTTTGACTTGACTGTGGTGAATTTCATAACTAAGTTTTAACGTAATTTTAACCAAGTAGGTTTCTTTTTTAAAGCATTTTATACTTTCTATTAACCAAATTATTAACGTTTATTTTCAGTTATACGAAATTTCGTTTTTTTACCATGAATATTAACGTTTTTTATCGCTTATTTTTATTATAGGGAATTTCATAACCGATTCTTAACGTAAATTTTACGTTATTTTAACAAAACCTGTAACTCTTTTTTTTTTTTTTTTTTTTTTTTTTTTTTTTTTTTTGGATATCCATTCCATTAATTTATTACTTTTTTAAAGTGAAATTTCTCACTTTTATGTACATGACATTTAATTTTAAAATTTGTTTTCAATTTGAGTTAGGTTGACTATTTAAAAGTCTCATAATTACTTGCTAAGAAAAAAAAACATTGCTTATTTACAAGCAAAAATTGAATTAATTTTGATGGGTATTTTTTTAGAAGTTGTGGTTAAACTAGGAAACCAGATGAAAGAAGAAAAATCCAGTAAAATTTAGTTATGCAACAGGGTTTTTGTTTTTAATTTACAAGGAAACAACCTTATTTAGAAAGTAACAAGTTTGTATTTGATTCTCTAGCTTACTTGAGCACACAAATATAAGAGAAAAATATTTATTTTTACACCAGATCTAATCAATAACCTCAGGTTTCTGAAAATTTTTCTTCGTTCAAGCAAAACAAAACATTAAAAATTAAAGCACTTCCACAACAATAGAGGTTAAGACTTCATTATTTTGAGATCAATGGTGTTATTGCACACCTGCCACCTTTACTCTCAGAAAAGTGATATCCATCTCTCTGAAACTGGATGTGGCTATAAGCCACCACCCAGTATCAAACCCTGGTTCTTCACAGAGACAGCTCAGTTCTTAACCACTGTGCAATCTTCTGGACTTCAAATTGGTCAAAAATCAGTGCATGAGCCACTATCTCTCAAGGGATAGAGCTTTTGCCTTCCAATGAGGTTAACCGGGTTCGAATTCCGCAACCGGCTTGCACCGACCACAGTACTGACGTGAAATATCCTCAGTGGTAGACAGATCATGGGTTAGAGTCCTCTTGCCGTCAGGCTAACTGTGAGATATTCTTGTGGTATCCCTTTCCATGTAACGCAAATGCAGGTTAGTTCCATCAAAAAGTCCTCCACGAAGGCAAATTTGTCCCATTACTTGATCCAGGAGTTCCCTTGTCTTCCAGATTAAGTTCAAGATTACAAGGCTACGAGGTTGAACGTTAGTAGTTGATTGGGTTGGCTGTTAAACGATGGTTAAAAATAAAATAACAAAAACTCAGTTCATTTTCTTTATTAAAAATTAATTTTATAATATTAGAGATCACTAAATTAGCTTGCAAAGACATATTTTTATGTGATAATATGACCTTAGATGCAAGTTTGTTAACTCTTCTGATGATTTATTTTCTTTATAGTAAGAAATTGTGCATATTTATACATAGTGTGCTTGTTTCAGGCTTATAAGGAGCCTCTCGACTTCAGAGAAAAGCAAGATACTCAACCTATGCTAGAACTATTAGACAGATTAAAATTAAAGGTAAAGTTACAGTTTTTGATTGAATTTTTTTATTCATTTAAAAATTATGCAACCACGGCAAGTTATTAAACAAGGTGCGAAGCGTTTTTAAAAAAGTACTTATTTTTTTATTTACGTTTTTTTCAAAGCCCTTAAAGTTGTTGTTTTTTTATTCGGGGTTTGTAAAAAGTGCTTAATTTTCTATCTTTTAAAAAGATTTTTTCTTTGCTGTGTCGATTGTCATTCTAAATTACAAAAAAAAATGCATAATTTTCTTATTAATATTTATCAGAAACTAGTTATTTTATCTTGATTATGTAAAGTTTTTGAAATTTTTTTTGAATTTTATGTTTATAAGTTAAGAACTTTAAACGATAGAAAAAAAATTATTTTTATTGCTGCACCGATCCTAAGTATGATTTTTTGTTTTGGAAAGTGATTAAAAATATTTTTTGAGTTCTTATTTATTGCTGGAAAATTTTGCTGCTGTTAAAGATCAGCAAAAGAGTTCATTTTCTTCAAATGTAAGAAAAGTTGGCAGGGAAAATTCGTGTGCATTATTTCTTTTGATGAGAATTCCTAAATGGCATACCATTCCAAATCTTTGATTCACTAGGATAGAAAACTCTTTAAATGAGTTAGATTTATTTTCTCCCTTTCCCTTAGTCTTTGATTTCTTTCCCTATATCACTAGAATAAACTATTGGTTTGCTTTTTCCATGCTAACTTGTGATATAAGACCTATACAATGTTTAGCATATTTAATAAAATTTATTGTAAAATGCAACACATTAATGAGTTTTTCTGACCTTTATCCTAATTTTGTACCACCCAACTGCTAACCTTAAATCTATATATATGTATATTGATTTTTAGAGAATGCATGTCCACTCTTTAAAATTTTAGAAAGTCGTTTGTTTTACTTCCTTAATGATTTTTATATACTTATTCAAATAAAGATCCACATGTGTGTCTACTGAGCTGAGTTCGATGAGATTCTAGCATTCTCATGTGCAACTCTGCTGCTTTTTGCAAGATATTCTCAATTTCAGACTTCATTTTCCAACCTCTGAAATCGAACCGAAAAATCTCTCGATCAGCGGTGGCTAATCTAATCCAGAACGGTAGATTCAAAATCATATGGTGGCTAATATATTCAAGAAAATAGTTCTTTGTCAGAAACTAGCTATTTTATCATCATGATCATGTAAAATTATTTTGCATTTTGTTAAAGTATGTAGCTTAAAAATATTTGAGTGTTTAAAAAAGTTTGTTGAAAGATTTGGCTCCACACTCTGTATTGCCCAGGTCAAAAAATGTGTCGCTGTTCAAATAATCACATGAGCATCAAACTTAGTCTTTTTTTATTGTTGCTGAGATAAAAGGTGACAGGGACAATGATTGATTCTTCAATAGTGAAAAAGCATAACAATATTTTAAATTTCGGATAAGGCAAGAAAGATGAATTGAAAATGTCTTTAAATCAAAATTTGTTTTTTAAAATTTAGAAAAAGTGGTGTCTAGTTTGAAGCGATAGAAAATTAACATTTCGGGGTACGAATGACTGTCCATGTCTAGTTATGGGAGTATCCGCTTTGAAAAGAGGGGGTACTGAATGGTTAATTTATAGAAGATTCACAGAGAATTGAAAAAAAAAATAATGAGAGGTGTCAGTTTTGATGGAATGTCCGCAAAGTGAGGTCTCACCTCATAAAGAATATCTAAATTTTTATGGCTTAAAACTTTGAATTTGCTTGAATAATTTTATTCTTCATAAAGCATTTATGTAATGGGTGACTTAATCTATTAAGGACTAAGTTAATATCGTCGGAGAACAAATTCTTTGTTGTATTTATATAAATACTTGATCTTGCCTAATCGCGGTGTGGGGATTTCAAATCTAAAACTAGTTTTGCTCCTAAAGCTACAGATTTTTTTTAAGTAACATTTTTAGTAGACAGGTACAAGTTTACTTAACTCTGCGTTATATACGTTTTTAAACTTCTAAAGAAGTTAGAGCAAATCATCAGGATAAAAGTTGCATAGGAACTCGTGCCCAAAAATGTCATCATACATGGCTAGGGGCACTTCCCTATTATGACCTTTTCAGAAGCACTCAAAGAAACAGTTCATAATAGGGATACACCCCTAGTGGCGTATAACGTCACTTCAGAGCATGGGTATGGCTGTAAGTTTATCGCGAGGAAAAAGACCCGAAATTCGTAGAAAATTTTGAAAATTACGCAGATTATAAACATAAATAAATTTACTATATAAATTATGCAAAAGACAGAAATTGTGCAAATGATAAAAAATACACAACAAAAGTATTTCTTTTAATTCAAACAATATTCAATATTAATATTTTTATTTAAATGAATAGAATTTTGGTACAAAGTATTGTACATTGTCAGATTATTCTCATTTATGCTTCGTCTTTCATCACTTAATAAATTTTTATATTTAGAAAACGATCTGTCTGCGTCCACGATGTTTGTAGGCACCGATAAACATCGAATTGCCAATTTTGCCGAGCATTCGGTCTTTGATTTCCAAAACTCGATCAATTTTCCTTCATCAAGGCGAATTTCTTGACCGTTGCTTTGTAGGAAGTAATTGCTGTGAAAACTCAAACATTCTACATTCAAACTACTAGTTACAAAAGCCTTTTCATAAGAAACTGATCCCTATATAAGAAATCACAAGAAGCCGACCAGGAAAAATTGTTTGGATATGTAGAAAGTCAGTTGAAATTTCATTGCCAAGTGCAATAGCCTGTGTAACAATTTTTCTGTCAGAGATTTGATTTATAACATTTTCCTTCTTTTGTGAATCGTTTGTACTGTTACTAACTTCAGGAAGGTAATCATATCAGTCTATTACCCTCCCTAAGTGTAGAAAGACCACCTTACTTGGCAAGATTGTGATTATCTCTTATCTCTGAACTATATTCTTGTCATTTTGCTATTGATTCACTCCCTTAAATATCTAATCAATTTTACATGTTCAATTTAAGGCTTCAGAAAAGTAAAAAAATTCAAATTTTAAGCAATTTTCTCGAAAATCAAAACATATTGAGAAATTCGCTGATTTTAGAAGGAAAAAAAAAAGAGGACAATTTCGCAGAAATTCGCGCCGCAACAGACCTGCAGCCCTAAGCATGGGTATAACATTTTATTCCTGATAATGTTTCTCACCTCCCTTAGTTGGTTGCAACATTTAAGTCGATAAAATTCGAAAACAATTTTCAGACAATTTACATAATCAAATAAGTAGTTTCTGATAAATATTGTAGAGAAAATTGCGAAAATCATGCATTTTTTGTAATTTAGACCGATAATTGACGCCCGGTGGCTGAGCGGTAGCGCTTCGCGCTGTCGTGCCACAGGTCCCTGGTTCGATCCTCGGGCCGGGCAAGGTTGACTCAACCTTTCAGTGGGTCGATAAATAAGTACCAAGCACGCTTGGGGACTAAACACTGGGGGTTCCGCGTTCGGCTGACCACCTGACCGGAACATCTGCTCCTGCACCCCAGAGCCCAAGGTCAAGAAAACTGAGATGGGCACAGTAGGCCTTGGGCCTCTATGAGCTGTCGCGCCGCTGAGTTTAGTTTTTAGACCGACAATCGATACGGCAAAGAAAAAATCTATTTTTAAAAGATAGAAAATTAGCAGGCTGTGATAGCCTGGTCCATAGGCTCATGTCCGAGAGTTCGAACCACCGGCCGAAGACTCCCAGTGTAGTAAATGGTGACTGATGCACGTTAATTCTGTCGAGTCGCAAAGTCTTCCACGTTCCCATAACAAATCAACACCTCTGGAGGTACTGGATTGGAGATTGATCGTTCTCTGATTCAGGTCAAAATTACGATGTGTGGATGAATGAATGGGTCCGCCCTATAAACGGGCGTGACGTATGGGTGTGGCAGAAGTTGAATTCTTGGCCATAGATGGCGCCACTGGTAAACAAGAACAATCACACCCCTCTGCCTAAAAAACAGGCATACGACAACAACAGAAAATTAAGCACTTTTTACAAACCCTGAAAAAAAAGCACCTTTAAAGGCTTTTAAAAAACGTAAATCAAAAATAAGCACCTTTTACGAATGCTACGCACCCTGTTTGAACTAAAAATCGAACTTTCTCTTTGTACTCAATTATTTTAAAATGTTTCTCTTAGACATATTTAAACCCTGAATGTGATCCGTGGAGTTTTGAAATAAGAAATGACGATGATCATCCATCCATCACATCATCCCGCTGCTCTGAGAGAGAAGATGATGATGCTTCAGAGAGTGAAGAGGAGGACACAGTCTCTGAAGAGGAGGAAGAAACTACTCGTTCGTTTTGCTTAATAAGCTAGTCTGTGATTTACTTTAATTAAATAGCATCGCAAATATTTCTTTAAAAAATAAACTGTGTTTGTGAATTTATGAGGCCACAGTAGAAGGAAATCAGAGAAAAGGCAAGGATCCTTTGCCCTAGCAACAATTTTTCCTCAACCCCAGTTGGGTTGAATATGAGTCCTATGAGAACATGCATTAGGGGACCGGTATTGGGATGTCAATATTTTGTAATATTGGTCCTAGAATGACCAATATAGAACCTACTAGGAGTACAAATTAGTTCGGTCCGTTTTTTGTGTGGTCAAAATGCATTTATTTCTGAACGAAATGAATGAACAGATTATCAAAGTATTGTCCATCGCTGGCTACTACTTTTTCCCCCCTTTCAGAGAATTTTCGAATTCCATCTCGAAAAAAATGTCTCGTCTTTTGAGGCGTTCCACGTCAGAAGCCAATTTTCGATTTCTGCGAAAAAAGTGAACCGGTGACCTGCTAAATCGTGCTGAGTCTGTCAGAACAACCAGTAATGAGAAGGAGCAATGTCCGACGAATACGGCGGGAGCGACAAAATATACCACTTGAGCGTTTCCAAATAATTTTTTATGATTTTTGCGACATGAGGCCGAGCGTTATCATGCAGAAGAATAGCTTTGTCATGTCTTTGCTCGTATTCCGGCCGTTTATCTCATAATGCACGGCTCAAACGTATCAATTGTAGCCTATACCGATCGCCCGTAATGGAATCGCCAGATTGTAGCAGCTCATAGTATACAACACTCTTTTGGTCCATTACCACCATTCCCTACATGATTTATCAGTTGGAGTATTGTCACCATAAACTTCTACAAGCATTCGATGCGTTCAGCTGCACTTTTCTTACAATTAAAGCAGAAACATAAAACCTCGCGCAAATGCTGCTTAGTTACCACAAAATTTGACATATTCAACAAAGTAAAAAAAAAACAAACAGGGTTTTTGTATGAAACTCAAAGCGATATAAACTGAATATAACTGACAGATGTCTTATCTTCTCTGAAACCAGCTGTCCCGATGAAACATTCATAACAGCCAGAGCCATCTTTTGAAAATGGACCGAACTAATTTGTACTCCCAGTATATTGGCTGAATAGAGAATAACGGGTGAATCTGACAATTCTATATAGGACCGATATTGGTTGTAAAGTGGCTGTAATATATACGGTGAATCAGAAAATTACATATAGTGTCAAAATCGGAGTAATAACGGCCCTTCGAACTTTTATTGAGCCAAGATTCGTGAATATTGGACCAATGACGGCTGATAGGGAATTTATTTTAAATACCCAAAAAGTCAAAGAAAGTAAATTATTTTTAATTTGAGTTACATTAAGTCCAATATTTTTTCCACAAAATTCATCTTGTTTTTGTAAAAAAAAAAAATTTTATAACTCTAATAACAATTAAAAGTGTTTTAAATTCTATCTTCTGAAGAATAAAGCATAACCCGAAAATCAATAAAATTTATGACGGATCGGAGACATTCAATAAAATTATTAATCGGAGACATTCGATGAAATCAGACGATATTTCGGAGTTTTGTTACCATCCTGATTTAAATATGTCAGGCAAAATTCTGGAAAATTTATTGCCCAGCCTTTTATGCTCATTTTCTTAAATTTACGAGATAGTCAAATATTAAATGGTCAAAAATCAATTCACTCAAATGCAATGAACGAGCAATCGTTTTAATATATCTCATTGAATTCCATTTCTTCCCATCTTAAAATGTTTTGGAAAACATGTGTCTACCACTACTAAAATAAAATTTTATTTATTAGTATATAAGACATGTAAAACTAGATTCTATGTTGGGGTACCTTTTCATAGACAAAAGTTGACATAGTTTATAACTTCTTTCCCCACATTGGTGACTCAGCGTGATGTGATCTCGCCTACTTCGATGGATGGGACTGCGACTTATCCACCTCCTCTTGCTGTTGCTACTTAGTCTCGATCACACACGTCAGCCTGTATATACTCGACTGCTAATGGCAACACGAGAGTGCCCACGACCGCGAACTTAATACAGCTCTCTCGATCAGCACTCAAAAGTAAGGTGATTTTAATACAGCTCTCCCGGCTTCTCACAAAACAGCAATGTAATCAACTAGTGGTATGCGTTCATTGAATTCTATCCCACCTATAATTCTGGTTGTGGAGTACTGTAGTGTGTCTACCGCTACAAAAATACAATTCCAATTTCCTAGTATATGAGACATGTAAAACTTGATTCTACGTTGAGGTACCTTTTCATAGATAAAGATTGACACTGACGTGACTGCTGAAATCACCGCTGTTTTAGAAAAATATTAGCCGAATATCCTTAAAATCAGCTGCTGAAACAATATTAAGATTTTTCTTCCCCTTGCACTAAAATAGAAAATGCTAAATTATAATGAATATTAAAGTTGTAGACTTTTATTTTTATATATATTTTAAATCATTTTTTCTATATATTTTCTTAGCTTGTACATTTACAAATAAAAAGAACTCCTGTGACAGAATGTGTTTTTCTTATTATTCACACAAATTTTGTTTTCGTTACTAAGTAAGATTGCATTGCAATATTATCACACTCAAAATCGGGGTGCGTAGCCTGATTTTTCAACCAAAATTAAGCACTCAAAAAATATTTTTAAGCACTTTCCAAAAAAAAAAAATCATAATTATGATTTGTGCAGTAANAAAAAGGATCTGTGCAGTAATAAAAAAAAAAATTTTTTCTACGGTTTAAATCCTCATTAATTTCAGAAATTCCCAGATTTGATTAAATTTTTCATTATTCCACACCATATTTTTTTTATTGGTATATGGCGACAAGCTCAGCACCTCTATCCTTCTTAAATTAAAGCTCATTTCACTTAATCATGATGTTCATTTGCAATGGGTACCTTCTCATGTGAATCTCCACGGGAATGAAATGGCCGTTGTTCTTGCTAAGGCAGGATTACAACAACTCCCTCTTCCACACTTACTTTTTTGGAGTTAATACTCTCTGGAAAAATCAAAAATCCCCGAGGAGGATTCGTATCAAAACCGGGTTTGTCCCTTGACCTCCCGTGTGACAAACGTACCCGGACTGTTCTATCAAGGCTTGCTAGTGATCACATCAAGTGACTCACTTTCAACGAGGGCAGGATCTCTTTAGCAATCCTCTCTTAGTCTTAGACTTCCTTTCAGTCAACGAATTCGTGGATCTTGTCTGACCAACACCTCCTAGAAAAGAGTAGGCCTCTGCACGGGTTACCATAAATATCCTTTAGTAGTCCAAACGTAATGACACATTTCGTATTTTCAACCACTGCGCAGCTTAGTACCCTGAACGTAATGACATCTTTCTTATTTGTCATCAACTGCGCAGTTAACTTCGTCACATCGGACTACTAATTTTTATCCGTGCTGAGGCCTTCCTTATTCTAGGAGGTGTTGGTCTGACTCCGTCAGACAGTGAGGATAAGCAACAACATATTTTTTTATACACAAATTTCTTCAGAAAAATACTTTTTTATTTGGTGTATCGAATAAATTTTGCAAGGAACAAAATATCATTAAAGATATTGACTAAAAATGGTTCCAAAATATGGACAATTTACATTGGAACTTTATAATTGAACTGTTAAAGATAAGTCTAGTTTTAACAGAAAATTTCACAGTTTGTTTGGTCAGGAAGAGAATCATTTTCTTTTGTATGTTATGCATTTATTCATTTTTAAAGTTTATTTGCAGTTTTAAACACAGAATTTATAAATTTAGTTATTTATGAGCATATAACTTCAAGTTCAGGACAAATTCTTTACAGTAGTTAAAATCCCACTAACAATGATCAGAAAAATCAAATTAATTTTAGGTAACAAGTTTAATGAATAAATTTTTATTAATAAATTTCGATCCCAAAAATATTTCAATATTACTAGAAAAAAATAATCCTATATACAGTGGAGCATCGTTTATACGACGTTTACATTTATACGACGTTTTAGTGTGGTCCCAAATCATTCCCATTCATTTTAATGTAAAAATATATCGTTTATACGACGCACAGAATCGGTTATACGTCGATTTTTAGATTTTGTTCACGTTTATTTAATTTTTTATTTTTTCTTGTGTATTTTAAAAAAGGGCGGAATTTGCCAACATGAATGATACAGAAAAGGGTGCTAACAAGAATGCTTGGATGACGACCGTAATTTTTACTAGATGACTGAAAAAACTAGACAATGTTATGAAGAGGCAAAAACGAAAAATTTTGCTATTCATCGACCAATGTCCAGCTCACCCATCGATACTAATTATTTTGGAAAATGTAAAAGCTCTCTTTTTTCCTGCAAATTGCACAAGTGCGCTTCAGCCATTAGATTTGGCCGTGATTAGAAATCTAAAATTGCATCATAGAAAGCAGTAAGTTCAACTCGCTATTCAAAGCATTGTAGAGACTAATAGCAAGAAAATATAATTAAAGGTAACATACATTCAAATTGCTCACTGCAATTTTTCTTCTTTGGTTATTTGTTTGTTTTGCTTTGTCTAATTTAGAAATTTATGTAAATCAACACGTTAAACATTAAAATTAACTGAAAACAGAGTTAGTTTCAGTTTTAGAAGTAAAAATCGATTATACGACGTTATCGTTTATACGACGTTTTTCGGTGGTCCCTTCGGCGTCGTATAAACGATGTTCCACTGTATATATTTAAAAAAAAAACTTTTTTTTATTACTAAAATCTAATTTCTGATTAGTTTTCATTGTTCTTCCAGCACAAGTAGCAAGTCTTGCAGAGTTCCCACTAAACTTAAGAAATAAAATCCCTTCTCCAGGTTTTACATGAAAAGTTTAATTTTAGATTACTTTTTTGCTATATACATTAAATAAAATTTTTAATACAATTAGCATTTTTTTTTTAAATAGAAAGCTTGCTTAATATTAAATTTTGTAAAAAAATTTTTTTAGTTGAAGATTTAATATGTTGATTTTAAATACATAAATCATAGATAGCAGTATTTTATACAGAATCTGAGAAAATTTAAGG